CTGGGTGTAGTTTCTGAAGGACCTGGCATACTGTAGACTACCCTAAGCCAGTTTTGGAAGCAATTTTCCTGGAGGAAAGATCAAGAGTGGAGAGAGATATGTTGCTCTTTCTTTGAGAAGCAGAGATGGGTTTCATGGTGATGGTCGGGTTTATTTATAATGCCTGACACTCAGTTACATAAAGGTGACATAATAGAACCATTACCAGATATATGTACTAATATTACAGTATGCCAAGGTCTAATATATGTAATTGAAACCTAAAGTCAAAAAACTGACTACATGAGTCATCATTTTGAAATGGCTGCCATTTGATCAAACCTTATCCAAAACCCTTGACCCCTGCACCAATAGAGAGCCAAGTGTAAGGGCTTTGTTTCATACACTTATAGGTTAGGGCCTAGGTTAGGTGGTATGGGGCATTATTGACTTTAGTGAAAAATGTCCAAACATGCGGTCAGTTTTTTGAGCCACTGTATAAGCAAGAGCAGTACAAGATCTAACTAGAAAAGAATAACAAGGAAATGAAGTGCTCTTGGCATTCCTCTGTTGGAACTGGGGTGCTGAGTTGTTTGGCATATGACATGCATTAGTTATTAATTGCAGTTGCAAAAATGTGCAACTTACTCAGTGAAAAAAAAAAGAAAGAAAAGAACCAACATAATTGCAGCAGCAGCAGCAAGATATGCATCAGCACACAACGATGGTAACAATCATGGGGACCTGTATATGCATGGTTAACTGGAGGAACTGTAGATTGTTTGTGCTTACAATAAATCTATGATAGCTACAGTATGAATGTTTGCACTACTGTCAATAGTAACCTTTTCAAATTTAATGTTTGCATTTATTGTCACATTGTACCATCTTCTCAAAGAACTACTATCAATAGTCATCTAATTCTAATATTACAGGTGTCTACTGCTACACTATCTTTAGTGGTGGACTGTGAGTGAAGACTGTTAATAGATTGCTAAGTATGAAGAGCTGACAAGTGACTTACCTGTTGGGGGTGGAAAGAGGGAAAAGATGTTTGCAAGAAAAGTTGTTGTTGATATACTGAATGCAACTCACAGTCACATACATGCATTGTGTGATTTTGTTGTGGCTACCATGTGACCATGAGTTGCATTCAGTATATCAACAACAACTTTTCTTACAAACACCTTTTCCTTCTTTCCACAAGTAAGTGGCCAATATTGACTGCTACTATGGACTAACTTCAATCAGTGTCACTCTCTGCAAGTCATGATGTTCCACCCAATACACATAAGTAGATAGATATGTATAGTAGCTAATCTGTAATGGCTTGTAAAGAATTGTTATGAGCAGCATAGAATTTTGAATATGCTCTGAATACAAGTGTAGATGAAAACATGGTGACAAATGTAAAATAAAGAAAGACTGAAAGATCATACCTTTGGGCTACTGTTATTTTATTGAAACAGGTCTGTAAGAGTTGTTGTCTGCATTTTCACTCCTGAAAATGTCTGCACAAATCCCTGTAACCCAGCACACAATTCCATGATGTTGCATACCTGTCACCACACAGGTAGGTCATGTACTAATGCTGCCTACATGTTTAGCAGCCATCCTCGTGATGTTTTTTTATTGTTTTCCAATCTGAATGTAAGTTTCCAAATGGCTTGATGACCAATTGAGAAGGTCATGAAGTTAGTAACCCAATGTCATCAAGATGCACATGAGTGAGTCCAACCTTAATCTGAATGTGGCTCCAATCTGTATTGTCTAACATCTACAATAGCAGACCTCCCATTCATTTTTTCCTGTGTCCTTGTGGTGGTCCCTCACTTGTCAAAATGCATTGGTTATTTGTTGCCCTTTATGGTGCCTGACAACAGGTGCATTTACCTCATTCCTACAATGCTTCCCATTAATACAGCTCTTCCCTCAAGTGAAAACAAAAGTGCACTCATTGAAGTGGTCATCAAGTTGGTCCACACCATTACAAATAAGGCTGGTGTCAAGCCAGGAGTTAGGGCCCTTCCATATATAGTGCAAAGGGGGGGGCTTGTGGTAGATTCAGTCCCTACTCCTACAACCAGTGTGAATTGATAACCCCTGCAGCAAACACTGAATTGACTGTCAATGATTCAGCATGCTTCCTGCTCAAGAAGAAAGCCAGTTCATAAGTTCAGACTGCTGCCCTGCTCATTGTGAGTAAAATTCTGTGATTCTACAACCTGCATTCATGACTGGATTAGGCATACATGCAAGAAACATCCACATACAAGGTGCCAGACCAGGTGTACCTCATGCAAAAGTTGGCATTTGGTTTGTGTTGTCCTCCAGCTTCATGGCATTTTGCACCCTGCTCTTCTTCACCTACCTGGTAGACTTGGCTTCCTTCATTCCATCTCTGATGTTAGGTTTTTGCAGTGTGTTAGTTTGCTTGTTCTGTGTATATGGTGTAGTACTCATGTGGGGTGCAACCCTTGGTATTGAACTCCCAATAGAGGAAGTAGCAAAGTAACAATGTCTCCTATTTTACATATGCAGACCATATGTAAACATCATGTATACAAACATTGGGTGGTGATGGTGATAATCAGTGTGTATGGTTTTCATTATGAATGTTTGATTCTCATTTCATATTTAGGTTTGACTTGATTATCTTGGTCAAGGTGTGATGCTGGTGATGACTATTGCCTCATGCATTTTCTGTGATGCTCTGCACTGACAATAACAATCTTACCATATAACATCTCCTGTCATAGCCAATTTTCACCACACACATGGTGGAACCTACTCATTGTGCAAAGCATTCCCACAACTGTCTCCATCCCTACATGCATTCCCCTGGTTCATCATTAACATCATTTACCCCATCTGCATCTTTGCACTCCTCCCAGCTGGTCCAATGTGACATGATAATCTGAGGCACTTCTGGTAACTCTGGTGCACAATGAAATTGGAATGCCTGATTTTTGACAAACATACACAGCAGTTCAGTATAGTGCAGTGCCACTTAGCAGACTTCCGGGGACCAATGGATGAGAAATTCTGTGACAATATCGAGTGCATAACTGCAGTTGCCATTTGTTTAGCTTTTGGAACCATGCAGAGGTGCATGAGAAGGGTAGGGTATCCTTGGTCTCAATTACATCTCTGCTTAGTGCTTCCTTGACAGCTTTCCCAAGTTGTCCCCCCACATAATAACAACTCCTGCAATTCAACCCAGGTCTGTTTCTCTACCTTCCTATGTTGTGTTCTGTCTAAGATAATGTACCAGTAGCAGGGGTGAATAGAATCAGTAGGATTGAAGAAATTGTTCATTCCTGGTGCATGGTCCCAATTGGATGTCTGTCATTAGACTAAGGTACAATTGATTATATTAGGGACAAACCAATAAGAAAAATACAGAGAAGCATGGCATTCGCAACCAGGCAACTAACTTCAAACAATGAGAATGCCATCATAATTAATTCATCAGAAACAATAATGCAGGTAACAATAACCCGGCCACCCTTGTAAATGCCCTTGTAAATTCCTCAATTCCTCCCAGTAACTGAGTCAAACCAAATCCCCATGCCTCTTGTCAGGTCACAATGTGCAAGGTCTCAATCTGTTCCTCCACTTGTCCCCCACCCAGTGGAGGCTTTACCCCTGTTAGCCTCACAGGCCAAGATAGTGTATCAGCAGGTCTGGCATGTCATCATGGTAGTAGAGCAAGAAATGAGGCCCATGAGCTGTCAGACCTCTTTAGAGAATAGAAAGGAGCTGTGTAGGGTGCAGTCACCCCAGTCCAGTCAGATGCCAACTTAGGATACATCCAAATCACCTCAGTCACAGTTGCCCAATCAGGATACACCCAAATTGCCTTGGCACCAAAGACAGTCAGTTTTGCCAGTGTTGATGTTGGGGATCCTCACTCACCAGCCTCAAGTCTATTGAGCTTACCACTAAAATTTGGAAACCACCCAGTGAGGTAGGCCATCTGGAAAGGGGTGGATACAACCTTGAGGAGCACTTGCAATGGAGTGACAATGAGATGCATAAAGTCAAGGTATGTACATCTTAGATGATGTGCTTCATTAACTAAGATAAGACTTGGCAGTGAGTCATCCACACAGCAGTGAAGAAGTATGTAAAGAGTTTTATCTGTGTGTCTTACAAGAATGTAAATGCCATATAGTACACTTCACACATGTAAACTGAGATAACAATATTGAACATGCCATACAAATTGATGATAAGCCATAGTCCCATACCCCAACATGCTACTCTTATTTGTGACCATATATAGACTTTATTGGCCTTCTGGCTTTATCAACAGTGGCTTTGCTGAAAATATCTCAGAAAAATAACTCCATAAATGGTGAAAATATCCACTTGCAGCAGTATGCACATGGATGTTTTGAGATTCAGTCATTAATACCACTGGACACATTTGTGAGAAATGTGACATTTTGGTGGTAGTTTGGATGTATATGGGACCTTGGAGATTGTCATATAAATTGCCAGATTCCAGCAATGTATATGGGGTTATACAAAGGCAGCATGAATTCCCAACTTCTGATGGCAGGAAACCAGGTCTCAAATTTGAAGGTTGCATAGGACTACACAAGGGGACATGAATGTACATAATAACAAGCAGATTCCAAATTTCACAGAATTCTCCAAAGCAATAGGGGATTTCAAAAAAGACACTGGTAGGCATTGAGATACTGCAAATCAAATCATCATACTGGTTAGCAGGTGGAAACCAAGGGACTTACCAAGAACAGTGAAATGCATAAGAGCTGAAATTGTCTTTTTTCATTTCAGGAATTTCTTTGCTGTAGACAGTATAAATAGGACTTCCATCATTGTGGTAAAGAATGTCTTACACATCTGGTTTTCCTGTGCTATACCGACAAGCATGGGGCATAAATCATCCACACTTTCACCATGCTGCTGGAAGGCTGCTGCAATGTGTGCAATAACAGCATTTTGGACACCTGATTTCTGATATTTTCTGACAATCTCTGTCAGATCCTGCTGCAAATCCTTTCTGGCATTAGCCCCATCCTTGACCTGCAACTGGAAAAATAAGCATTCAAAGACAATTATACAACCTGTAATTATGAGCTTCAGATTCAAGCAGCATCAAAAGAGATATATACCAATGCCATGTTCTGCAAGTGCCTTCAGGGAAGGCTGACTTGACACAGACAATGTAGGGATGGAGATGAAATAGCTGTCATGTTTGATGGATTGCTATGACCAACCAATTCAACACATCATAGACAGCTAAGGGGAGGAAAGGAATTGGAACATACCACCTGAAAATACATCAAGAGTAAAACAGGAACCAATGTTAAAGTAGGAAAAAGAGTGACAAACCAACTGTAAAACATATGGGCAATGAATGAGTGTGGGATGTGGAACAAACCATACATTCTGGAAATGGGTTAAAATTTGTCAGGATTTTAGAAGAGATATGACAACTAACATGCTGAGAGAGATGTAAGAGAAGAAATAAACAAAGGGCATACTCCAAGGGAAGATTGTACTGACATCCTAACACAATGTCTCACCAATATTGTAGAGATTCATGCACTGATCAGGCTCACCATCTATTTGATGAGAAGACCTTATTAAAAGCATGCTAAATGGACAATTTCCATGGCACTCACTCTCTAAGACCCATAGGCCAAAAGTGAAATAGTGAGGATCATGAATATATATCATCCTCTAGCAGACACTGAGACAACATCACTCACATCCTATGAATGCAAATGCAGTGGGGTAGGAGAGAAAATCACATTCAGCAACCATACAGGGCCACCACATTTCATCTGTCTACTCACAAACTATGCATGCAAGTCAAGCAAAGCAGTGGCAAATGTAGTCAGCATGCATCCACCACCATCCACCATGACTCCACTCACAAGCTATGAACCCCAGTCCAACAGGGTGGGAGTGAACATGTCAGCATGCATCCACCACCATCTGCCATGACTCCACTCACTTCCTATGAACCCCAGTCCAACAGGGTGGGAGTGAACATGTCAGCATGCATCCACCACCATCTGTCATGACTCCACTCACAGGCTATGAACCCCAGTCCAACAGGGTGGGAGTGAACATGTCAGCATGCATCCACCACCATCTGTCATGACTCCACTCACTTCCTATGAACCCCAGTCCAACAGGGTGGGAGTGAACATGTCAGCATGCATCCACCACCATCTGTCATGACTCCACTCACTCCCTATGAACCCCAGTCCAACAGGGTGGGAGTGAACATGTCAGCATGCATCCACCACCATCTGTCATGACTCCACTCACTCCCTATGAACCCCAGTCCAACAGGGTGGGAGTGAACATGTCAGCATGCATCCACCACCATCTGTCATGACTCCACTCACTCCCTATGAACCCCAGTCCAACAGGGTGGGAGTGAACATGTCAGCATGCATCCACCACCATCTGTCATGACTCCACTCACTCCCTATGAACCCCAGTCCAACAGGGTGGGAGTGAACATGTCAGCATGCATCCACCACCATCTGTCATGACTCCACTCACTTCCTATGAACCCCAGTCCAACAGGGTGGGAGTGAACATGTCAGCATGCACCCACCACCATCTTCAATGAGTCAACTTACACTCTGCCAATCACAGTCAAACACAATGGTAACCATCATCTTCAGCATCAGTTATACTGGTACTTGCAGAATTTCACACACCTCCTATAACCTAATTAGCCTCTCATTCACCCAAAACACTGGTTGCTTACAAATGGGAACCATGATCCAAGGGCATATGCTAACTCCCCCAAGTCAAAATGATTCAGCCCCCTCATTCATGCTTCTCTTCAGTGTCCTTTCTGTAGTTAGCACCCTGTAGAACTTGATTTTTACCACTCACTTCATTATGGCAAATTCCATGCAGAGCCCCAAGTTTGATTGCTGTGATGATATAAGCAGTCCTTGCAGCCCTTCCTCAGTCAAAGCATTTGCTGTGCATTTCAATAGCTCTTCACAATCTGCACTCTCCTGTTCCATACCTGGAGAGACACATGCCAATCCAGTTCCCCTAATCATGACCTACTTACCAGTGAGTATCAGGTAGCTTTGAGGTGGAAACTTCAGTTCATTCAGCCACCCCTTGATCTTTTCAAGGCAGTCCCTTTTGCAGCTGTTTTTCTACCCCTGGTGCCTCTTTCATTGCATCATCTACAGTTAACCCCCTTCTCATAAGCTGCTGCACCTGCATCAAGATTTAAGGTGTCTGCCTTTGTTAGTAGCACAATCACAGGAACTGCACAAATCCTCAATCTTTGTATGAAGTGTGATGTGATATTTGTGTACACATACCATGTCCTGAATCACACTCATTAAAGAACTTCCTTTCAGCAGCCATGACCATCCTATGGCTTTCATTCAAAGGAATGCAATACCTAAATCAATCACAAAGACCAGATCAGTAGACTCTCAGTGGCACTCGTCAGACATGTCCCTACCAAATTGCATGCAGTCTGTTCTCCAGTTTGGTGGACTTTGCTTGATCTGTAACAAACTTCTTCATCTTATCAAACTCTGCCTCGCTCCCCGCCTCAAATCCACATGAATCATGGAACACATAGCGCGGGTTACTTTTAAACACTAGCTCATCTTCAATGTTATGGTAGCCACGCTGCATAAGTTCGAAAGTGAGCACCATGTAATTTCACATGGTGGCCTTACCCCCAATGAACCCTGCACCGCCCTAGTATCAACCTAGCGGAATGACATGTTGACAGATACAAAACACATAACACACCCACATACCTTCTCTCCAGTTCCATCAAAGATCTCAGGCTGATCCGTAGTGTTACAGACCCGCTGTAAAACAGTTGTTTTACCCGCATTTGCTCTGCCCATGACGAGAATGCGAAAACGAGGGATGCGATCAATCTGCCTTTTGGCCTCAGTAGGATCTAAGCGATAATTTAAAGCTTGTGTAGGGTCGACTGAATGTGGGGCAACATGAAGGAGTAGCCTCAGTGGGAATGGCAACTAGTAACACACCAGCATTGTCACTCGGAAGTTGAGAACGCCGCAGCGAACGCCACCAGGAACGAACAGAACTCGGCGCCATCGCGATGTGAAGATGAGAAAACAGGTGTTAGGATGTCTTGAGCGGTAAGCGTGCTACGACTGTTGTGGACGATGGTGAAGTACGAAGGGCAAGGTACTGCGGATTCGAGTGGCGTTGAACGCTCAACGTGCCTATCTCTAGTGCACAGCCTGACACATGTGTAAACTACGACCACCAAGTTCCTGTTGGGCCGTCCCATTTCTTCTCGTCGTCTGACCGAGTCCCGGTGATCCATTGGCGCAGGAAAGACTCGACCATCAATCCTGCCTTGTTATCTTCGATTGCTCATAGCAACGCCATGGGAGCTCGCCCCATACTCTCCGCGGTACCAAGCCAGCTCGGTAGGTGCAATAGTTATGCTGGTGAAATGTACTACCGATCTTCTCAGCGGCTTTGTGTTTCCATGCTCGCCCCGTCCTCCACACCAGACACTGTAGCACAGTTGGGTTTCCCCAGCTCCTCCCTCCAGGATTTGGTTTCCAAAAACCTTCTTCCACAATACTCGGTCGTGCAGTTGGGAAATCCACAAGTAGCATGTCTCTTTGTTAACCCACCCGAGTATTAGCACGAGGAGTATAAACAATCATTGACCTGACCAAGACGCCCGCACAATGACGGGGTCAAGATCTAAACTACGCACCGACTTGCTACGACTACAACCGTTGGTGGTGTCGACAATGACCATCGTTGAGCATTCCAACTCTATTGTCACCCTCTCACAATTACAGGACCCAAGCTCCGTTTCTAAAATGCATCACCAGTGAGTGCTGCGTTCTGGCTACCGCCTGATCCCCCCGCCTTACCTCCACCCAGTCGAGATCCTATCCTTCACGCTGTGGGTGACTCCAACTGATAGCCATGGAAGTGGCGGACCCTCCGGTATAAAATTTGCATGATAATCTAATGGGACCACTATCAATCCCCATGCCATAGTCATTCATATGCCACTACGCAGTTTTCCAGCTAAACATCAATAGAATAACTTTTAGAGCACCTGCCTCGGTGCTCCTTCCATTGGTGGACGGTTTTGTTACTCTCTGGGAGGCGAAGACAGTCCTAAGGCCACAGATACATATCACATTACCCCTTCCCCACATACTCATATTCCCTCCAGAGCGACTTCATGGGAGTCTTACCGTCGGAATCAAGTGCAGGGGCCATCAGAGCATATCGATTGTACTCACTGAGCATTTCACATAATGAGAATTGCCCAGGCTCGAGTTCTCGTCGTATCTTTGGTGTCAGGATACACAACGAGTCGTTCATAGAGTCGACTGTATGCCAAGAGGACATGTCCTACATGCTTTGCGAAAGACTTCGCCAGAGACTCAGCTTTTTGTGTTTCGGCGGCAATCGCGGTGTGCTGTGTCGTATGCACATGCGGGACAGTTTTGATAGTGAGTGGGTGAGAGCTGGACTAAGAGCACGGCTTTCGGCAATGCCGAGCGGCTGAGACGGTGAAATCCAAGACGGAAGTGTTGCTGCGACGAGTTTACTCAGCTTAGCTCCTAGTTGGAGACGCACTGCGCCTGGTTATCAGCAGCAGCCGATGTAAGACGAATGCTAGATGCGGGAGCGTACGTATAACTATGTCACGTCCCAGACGAATGAGAGAGCCTGCTATGGAAACGATACAGCGAAAATCGCAAACGAGGAGACATCGTCGTGGTGGGTGGTTCCCGATACCATTTTACAGAGCAAAGACCAGATACTCCCGAGGTCGACTGAACGCACAGCAGCGACCTGCCATTGGATATAAGAATGACATTGACTAAAGCGTTTTAAGTGATGACACTCACTCTGTCAGAACAATGCTTCGCGATCAGCTGTAGATAATGGTAATGTTCTTTCAATTCTGGTGAACCTCCGTATAGGTGAGGTTGATCGGTGAAGGCATCGAGGCAGCACGTTACGAATGCTTGGTCCACTTTGAGAGTTCCTGTGGTGACGTGCTACCGAACCCTGTTACTTATAATCAGAATAGGAGCTTGATACAGACCTTGAGGCCGGGAGCCAGGGCTCCTCGAATTCCTTCTCCCATCACACCGAGGAGGTGCATCAGGAAATTAACACTAGTTCGAGAAATTCGCAGTGGCGGTGAGGCCCACTTGCCTCATCCGACGGGCGTGGGAACTTTCCCCGAACGGTCGGTCAGGCTTGCACAGAGCCCCGGTGACGTCATGCTGTCACCCCCCTCGGCAAGCTGGCCGCGTCGGCACGTCCTCCGCGACGGTCCGACCCATTTGGCAACTTCGTAATTGCCGCACGAGGCAACCGTCGTCGTCGTCTGCTTTCGATCGCAATCAATGGTATATATTGGAGGGAAGGGCTGCCGGCCCATGCAATTTATGTTAGTAAATGGCAATTGCCATCTCTTGATTGATGAACTTTTGAGCTTTGTGTAGAGAATGTGTATTATGGAGAATGTGTAGGTAGAGTATCTACCACTACACCACAGTATGTTGAGTAAGAAGTGTAAGAGACGATGCAACAGTGAATGATATTTTTTATATTAAAAAAGAAGGATAGCTCATTGCTGCTCTGCCTGGCAGTGGTGCTCCCCATCCCCATGATGCCATTTGCAAGCAGCTATGATGGCATTGAGGAGCCTCAGCAGCACTTCTGTAAGCTCAGAGGAACACATCCTCATTCCCTTGGAACCTGGAGAGCCAGATACAACTGTCAGAGACACTGGAGTAGGACAGATTAAAGTAGTATGTACTCATTCAGAAATTCAGTGGCCATGACCTTGCACTGGTAGTGCTTAGTGTTGAGGCACTGGCACTTACCATTGTAGTAGTGATGGGGCCAGTCCTTGAGCAGAGTGTGCAGGTTGAGCCATGGCTTGCCCTTTGTCCAGTGGCACACAATGTCCTTCCAGGAGTCTGACCTTGGAGTGTGTGTCCTGTCTGCCTGTAAGACAGGAACATCTGGGATGAGCAGTCCCAGGGGAGTGGCAGAGGAACTCAAGTGGCTGTTGGTCCTCTCAGGTCCACTGTGTGAAGTGAGGGACTGCATCATGGCAGAGACATCCAGGGATAGTTGGATGAGGTGCAGCAATATGAGCAGCAATGGTTGTGAATCATGTGGCTGGGTGGCCAGAATGGACTGAACTGTTGGAGGTGGCAAGATTGTGCTCCAATACTGCATGGATGAGCATTGATGGTGCTGACATTGGTGGGCTGTTGTGGATTTTAGTTTGGCCTTCATGTGGTGATGGTGAGGAATGGAATGGACTCACCATCTGTCACAGCATCGCCAGTGCCCTGACATGGCACCATTGGTGCAGAATATGAGTACACACCAGAGGCAGCAGATGTCAAGGCCAGTGCTGTGACTATGTTGCTCATGTTGCCCAGTTTTTGGTGAATCTCCCTTACATCTGCTGACATTGCTGCTTGTGAATGAGACATTTTTTTCACCATTGAGTGCAGTGCCATGATGTCATGCTGTTAGTGCTGCATGGGCCATGTGGAGTGCTTCTGTAGATGCTGGCTGGATGAGTGCAGCTTCACCAGCAAGCAAGTCCTCAGCTTCCCATGAGATCAGGCCCAGGGCATCACTGTGGTTGGTTTCATAGCAATGAAGTTCATCAAGCAGGTAACACATCAGCATATCATATCATGCTGTGTGTGTGGTGTCAAGGACAAAGCAAGAAGTGCTGGTTCACTCCAACACACCCAGATAGGAAAGAACACAAGACTCACATGTTCACCTTTGGCCCACCCCCCCCACCATTGGATATGCATGAGGGTTCATCACTGCCCCACTGGGGCATACATGAACCTGTACTGCACTCCTCCCTGATGGTAGCAATGTGTGGAGAACGTTCCAGGAATCCCAGCACCTGCCACTCCCTCATCAATCCACTTCTGAACCATATCATGGGAGAGTGGTTCACCTGGCTGCAGCACCCCATTCACACTGATGGCAGGAAGAAAGAGGAAGTCATTGTCAGCCATTGGTCAACCAAGATGGACAATCTTGGTCCATCTCATCCAGAAAACCAGGTGCATGAAGACATCACATGCTTTGCCTGTATCTGGGTGTGGATAAACCTTGTAGTGATTACCTATGGATACATGCCATCAAAAATGGACATCAGATGTGAGGTAGTGCCACATCATGAAGATGGGATTGAATGTACTTTGTAAGTCAATTTCCCTCATCCCTTTGTCCAACTTTCTCTGCCACCCCTTTCAATTCCTCAGGTGCACCTCAAAGTACACACCAAGGTCATTGATGGTGAGTGATCCTTCCTCACCTCGAAGGTACTTCAGGAACACATTATCTACAGCAGTCCTGTCAAGTTTTATGTCCCCACACTTCAGCCTGACCAGTTCATATTTCCTATTGTAAATTGTCATCATCGACTTTGGAGGTAAAGCCACATGCTAGCTACCTGGTCCACAGCATGAATGCAACAGCAGCACAGGCCAGCTGTTCAATGTGCCATGTGGTGGTTAGTTTTGTCTTCACATCTGTCACCCACTTGACTAACAGTGGCACTGAGGGTTCTGAGTGTGTCATCACTGAATGGATGTACTGCAATGGGGAGTCGAGGGGACAGCAAGAATTGGACCAGGCGAGGATCATGTCCAGGTACTCCTTCTTCATGGCACCAGAGTGTGTGTGCTCAGATCCTTGAGAATTGACCTTATGCCAGATAGATGCTACAACATCATCCACCTCTGCCAAGCACACTGGATTCCCCTCCCACCACTGGCATTCACTATTGTAATGCCAGGCCTCACAGAATGTCCCACCATCACTATCAGGAGCATCTGTTTTAGTCACTGGCAAAGGTAGAGTCATGCGAGACATATGCCTCATCCCACATCAATTTAAATGCTGCTTGAACGCTGTTGATTGTACTCTGACTGCAGTTCTCCTGGAAACCCTTCCACGAAGGGTAAAGGGCCAGGGCCTTGTCTGAGCACTGATTTGGCATGCACTCGAATGTGTTCTTAAAGTCTGGATCACCATACACTTCCGAGCTCAGGTCCCCACTGCCAACATGACTTGGACTTGGAGACAGTTGCATCCCCTCCACTGGAAAGTGGCTCTGTAGCCATGACTGTGCCTGGCGGACATGCCTGGCATACATTGCCCTTGTCTTGGCTGCTCGAAGGTGAGTTTGTTTGCCAGCCTCTTTGATCTGATGAATGGTGTGTAGGCTGGGCTGTTCTTTTGGAGAAGACGCCTTTTCCCTCCTCTTTCTCTTGTCAGGGGAGCTAGGTAAGGCAACACTCTTTGTCATTGACACCTTCTGTCTGACCTTGGCATGTACAGGATGTTCATTCCCTCCACAAGTGGCCTGAATGCAACCAGCTGGTGTGTGGGAGTTGCAAACGAAGTCAGTTCATAGTGTAGCTGCACTGTCAACTAGCTACTATTTTTTTCAGAATCAATTTGGTGACATCATATTCAGTGTGAAGCCCTCAACAACCAATGTGCACAGGAGTGCAACAACAAAACTGGAACAGTAATTAATATAATGCTAGTAATACATCATACACATAGTTATGAATACCCCTTTCCCCATCAAGTCAGTGACACCCAGCAGCTTCCATCAAAATCCCCACTGTTTCTCCTCCAATGAGTGATGCCAGGGTGCCAATGTCAGTGTGGTTGATACCATGAGGAGCGATTTCCATGGGTGTTCTACAATGGGTCATGAGGTTGCAGAACAATGAAAAGTGGCAGTAGTTCAAGTATGAACCACCAAATTCAATGACTCCTTGCACTTTCTTCATGATTGCTGCATGTGCAACTGCAATCCCAAGCATGTTGGAAGCTTCAATGCACTGGCTGTTCAAGTATGTTTGAGTAAAGTTGACATCTGGAAGGCAGATCACTGCCTTCAAGTTGACACTGTCAGTCTCCAAAACCTGCTCCTCTCGTCTTGATGCTCCCCTCATCATACTCCAACAAAAATATGAGGTAGGGACACTGCGCAGGCTGACCAAGTTCAATGTTGTGTTCTTGAATTGGCAGAGGAAGATGTCTTCTTCGACTGTACCCTGCCCATTTCTCCAAGTTATCTTTGCTCCAGACAATGAAGAGGTCCATCTTGAAGCTCCCAGTGATGTGGCCAGTGACCACAGCAAGACTCCAATCAATCTTTCTGGCATGGTTGAGCACCAGCCAAAGGTGCCATGGTGACTGAAGGTGGAGCTTTGACTCGATTTCCTTGTCTGGAATGGTGAAGAAAGATTTGATGAACATGAAGTCTTCTTCAATAATGGTGGACATAGGGTCATGGTCATACCAAATCCACAGAAAGTGAAAGTGTTTTGATATTCATAGCAATGTTGATGATTTCTTTCAGATGGGGGATACCAAGCTTAGCATTTCTGTTGTATACACCAGCATGGTGGAAGGCATTAAGAGTCACTTTGAGTAACTGGTTCAACTGATAGCAAAGAAAGATTTCGATGAACATGGAGTCTTCTTGTCCTGGGCCATGTAGGATTCCAAGTACACACATCAGTAAACCACTTTGTGTGCTGGCAGTCCTAGGGAATCTGTCCAGTGCTGGACAGCTCTGGACAGCTCTGGCCAGCAAAAGTGATTTACTGATGCAGAAGGCTGAAAGCATTTTGATATTGGTAGCAATGTTGATGATTTCTTTCAGACAGGGGACACTGAGTGTAGCATTTTTGCTGGACACACTGGCATAGTGGAAGGTGTTGAGAGTCATTTGAGTAGCTGGTTCACCAATGGACTGGGCAGCAACAGTACTGCACATCCCTCCAGGGTTAACCAGAGTATGGTTGAACTTTGCACCTCAATCTTGTCCAACACCCACTCAACATGCTTCATGGTTGAGGTGGAACTCTTCCAATATGTGGCAGGTAGCATGTGTGGCTCATACATGCATGTGGAAGGTCAGTGAAGCATTTTCCTGCACTTCCCTGCTGACCTCTCCATGAAGCTGGTGGACTGCATCAACAGTGTAGGCTGGTTCAAGGTCACTAGGCTTGCAGTGGTTGATGTGGAAGACATGAACAAGCCACTGTCATTGTCCATGAGATCAACACAAAATGAATGTGAAGAACCAAAAGGTGTTTACCAAACAGCAGGTGATGCAAATGTGAACATCTCCATCTTCAACAATAGGGGGGGTGCACATGTGCTCCATCAAGAAGTACCCTGACAAAGACAATGCAGACATGATTTTTGCTGACAGAGGTGCATATGTGCTTCATCAAGGAGTACTCCAGTGAAGACAATGTGGATATGATTTTGGCTGACAGAGGTCTATACATGCTCCATTGAGGAGTACCCTGGCAAAGACAATGTGGATATGATTTTGGCTGACAGATATTTGACATCAACAGGCATGGGTGGGGGGGTGCAGAGAAAGCCAGGGAAGGGGGATATGATGTGACAAGATGTCATTGGGTATAGTTTGCCTCCACTGTCTTGATGGTGGTATCGATGAGACCTTCTTGACCTGGCTGTGGCATGGAAAAAGTACCCCCCTGTGGGGGTCAGACTGCATATGTATGAGTTCTCCACAAATCCCCTTGCCTCCAGGCTGAAGTCATCCTTTCCAGTGAACCAGAGAGTAGGGAGATGATGGGGTGCCCCTTTGGGCAAAAGTATGTATGGCAGGTCGATCCATATGAGGCGCAGAAAGTTGGTCAGGTGCAGAAGGCAAATGAGGTAAGGACAGTTACCTAGGAGATCTCAGCGAGCTATGACTGGGTTCATAGTGACCAAGGTAAGTCAAGTCAACACCTGGAACACAGATCACTGCCTTTAAATTGACACTGTCAGTCCCAAAACCCTGCTCCATTTTCATCTTGATGCTCCCCTCATCATCCAGGATGGTGAAGAAGGATTCGATGAATGCAGAATCTTCAGCTCCAACTCCCTGTCACTGAGCCTGAATGTGTCGATCCTCTGGTGCATGATAAATGCATCATGCATCCCATCTTCTCTGTACATAAGCTGGATGAGGTCACCCAATGAATTGCAGCACTGTACCATCATAGCAGACATCAGCCTGTCTCCACCATTTTGACAGCAAGCTTGATAAGACCTTCTCAACCAGCCATGGCATGGAAGAAGGGTTCCTGCCAAATGGTATATGCTTTCCTCCTACACTCTGCTGCCCTACACAGATGGACACTGGTGCAAACATTGATATTAACCTTTGGATCCTGCAGTGACCATTCACAAGCAAGGTTAAGTTGACACTCAACCATACCTTCAAAATTTTATCTCACCAACTGAACCTAGTGCATATTTTGATCTGTGACCATTGCAGAATTGGCAGTCATAGGGAATGAGGTAGGCATATCATGGGCAGTCTCCAGATATAGTATGCAGGAGGGGTGAATAAATGAGATGGAGGATACCAGAGTGGGGAGACAGCAGGACACATGCAAACTGAGAAGACAGATTACTTGCATTCAAGGGTTTCCAGGGTTTCCAGCAAACTGTGAGAATTGGAGGATGATGGGGCAATAAACTGACATTATCAGTTAGAAACAGTGCACTCACTGAAAACAATGCCCACCTGAACGCTAATCTCTGGTCCATCAGATCCCTCCCAAAATTTGTAGTACCCAGCCTCAGGAATGAACTATGATTTCTTTTTCTTTTTTCCTTTCAGATGCATGAAGCCAATGAATACACCTCTCTTTGGGTAAAAGTCAGTATGTATAATGAGTTGAACCTACAGAATTACCTAGGAGATTGCAGTGAGCGTGACTGAGTTCATAATGATCTGGGCAACAACACAAACCAAGGCAGCAGGAGTGATGTGAAGGCAGGCAGTCAGCAAGTTGAATCTGGAGGACAGAATCTGATATGTCACATTCACTTGGGTGGGCAGACTGGCAGTAGCATGGAGCAAAGCACAACAGGCAGGGAAGTAAGCAAGGTAGACTCACACAGACATGGTGATTGTGCCACTCACAAACTGATACAACACTATAGAAATGTGTGCTAGGCAAATGAATAGTCCTCATCCATGAGACCAGTGACTCCAGCTTTGAGATGTGGTGCATCTGCACCACCTACCAGGTCAATAACTCCAGTTTCATGAGGAAGGTTAACTGTTGACTCCACCAAATTGGGTCTTGAGTATTCTAACATGACTGCTGGCATCTCTATCTCATATGCAGGTGATGGATCTGTGTCCACTGGTGTTTCAAGTGGCAAACTTGGCACAGAGAGCTTGTATGACTTGTCAGAATGGCTCAGGACCCAAAGGTTGTGTTGCAGCCACTCACTATCAACATTCCCTGGCAGCTGTGGATGGTGGATGATGAGGTGGGGTGGGTGTATTCAGCACAATTGCAAGACTCACCTGCAGAAGTGCATGCATGGCTGTGCCAGCATGAGCATCCCATCAATCTGGACCAGATGGTATCTGGTGACCAGCCAAGGCACTGTGAACAGAACTCTGCCAGTGATGCAAGATCAGGCTGACAAGACCTCACAATGGCAATGGGGGGATGGCAACCCTCTGATCATGAGGTAAGAGGTAACAGATACATTGCTAAGATCAGTGGGGTCAGGGAACTCAATGCATTCCTCCACAATGATACAGGCAAGCTCATGGTGCCTATGTCCAAGGAGGTGTTGAGGATCCATTTGTAGTACCTCACAGATGTTGTTCGCACCACCTGGCGACGAACTCTGTAAACTCCATGAACTGAAATGTGATAGCAGGCTTGGAAGAGGGTCTTTCCAAAGCCATAATTTACCAATCAATGGGCAATGTCTGTGCTGCACCACTGGCAACCTGTCTAATGAATTGAATGAGGATGCTGCCCAATTCAGGGGGCTGAATATGGCACTTACCTCACTATCTACACTACTCATCAGCATAACAAGGAGGAGGTCACCCCACTTGAGGCCAGTGCAATTTTGCTAAGGTGTCAGATGAATAGAGTTGCATGTCTTCATACTTGCCAGATGGTGGGATGCCACTATTTGTGGTAAGCTAAATGACCACATGTCCATGTTTGAACTGACCTACCTGTGAATGATGCAAGTCAGCACCAAACAGCAGTGCATTGTTGTACAGTGTCACCATGACATCGACAAGGGCTGCATGACTGGAGGCAGGCAAGGTTCTGTCTCTGCCTCCCCCAGAGCCTTGTGAGCTTTGTTAGCACCTGGTGGCATGTACAGTTGATGACTCACCATGTGCCAGCTGAAACCAAATGCCATCAATAGCTCTTGAAAGCTGCTGCACAAGGAGGGGTGGATAGCATGGGTGCATGATGTCTTTTCCCCTCTTGAGCTGAGGGCAGTCCAGCCCATCAAAAACAAAGTATGGTTGGAGGGGCATCTGAGAGATGGAAGCAAGGTGATGGAAAATCATTTGTATTTCATGCGACCATCCTGTGCCAGCTTGGTGCCATGAAAACATGTTAAGCAATGAATACATCCATGCACTAGTGGGGCTTGTGAGGGATGAAATGGACCATACAAAGCAGGTGACTAACCTGGCATTAAAGCCCACAGTGAGCAACTGGGCACCTGCTCCACCACCACATGTGCCAAAGTTCTCAGTAGCAAGCTTGCCAAGTGTACATTGTCTCACTGCAGGAGCAAGAAGCTAATTACAGTTAATGTGGCCATGTGAATGAACAGCAGAGAAAAAATTACTCACCAGCCACAGTTCAAGTTCCCACATGGTTTTGGAACATGGTGGAAGACTCATTGGGAGGTTGAGGAGTGTGATGATGTAGAAAGCCAGTTGATGTAGGGCAGCGCCCAGCTGACAAATAGGTTGGCATAGTTTACTTGCCAGTTTAGCATCATGGTGGATGGTGCATCACAAGAATAGATATACTCAATGCATGAGATCTATGTTTCAAAACTTATGAGTGGAAGAGGAAGGGAAGGAGTTGACAATGCAGCTCACCAACTGATTGGTAAGTGCAAGGACAGTCTTCAGGCCAAGTTGAACCTCCTGGTCTTGAAAGTCTTGAAGGGGACCAATGATCAGCTCAAGAATGGCTGCATAGATGTTATGTCCAGTGCCAAACTGCCCAGTGAAGGGAATGACCAACAGGCTGCTCACCAGACCCATCCAATGGAACTGAATTGACCTTTCGAGTGATAGTGATCTGTCAACTGGGCAAAACATTGGGATAGGCTTCACTGACAAGTACTCACCAATGGCAGTGATCAAAGAGCATTGAGTGTTGAAGATGGAGGGCAAAGGCAGGTAAGGGCTCCTGCTGCCATGCACCCCACTAACCTGCCCTAAGTGATTATGTCAGTGCCCTGGACCCAATAGGCCTCGAGGCTGCAGACTGGTTTGAGCTGCAAAGTGCTGGAAAGCAATTGTAAAGTCCTGTAAAGTGACTTTGTGGTGGGATATGAGTATGCACCTTTGCATCCAGGCTGGCCCCATTTGCATTTTTGAACCAGTGAAATTAGCAAACCAGTTGACAGGACATGTTGAAGCTCATTAAGGCCTGGATCCCATGTACTCATGATGGCCCACTAGGAATTATGGTATTACAGTGGCAGGGTCCCAGGTGAGGTGTTTTGTAAGTACGCATTTAGGCAATTCACACTGGCATGCAGGTACATGCAGAACTGATGAACACATATTGTATATACACTGTGCATGAAGTAGCAGTCTACTTTCCTGCTATTTCTTCCAGCCAGATGGCCCCATCTGTACTGTAGCAAGTTGATGGTCACCACAAAAACAGACTTAGAGTTGTAGGGTCTGCTGCAATGCTCTCATGAAAATGTTGTAAATGGAGGTCTGAGTGCCTGAGCAGTGGAATCAACACTGTAGACATGACATCACTTGTTCCAAGTCAATCAATGACACCCATGCAACCCTGCAGTCCAATGCCAGGCAGGAATGATGACTAAATGAACATTGGACATGCTGGACACTGAGTAGTGCTGAACACTGAGTGCTGAGCAATCACAATCTCCACACAGGAATTCAAGCACCTCAAGCCGCTGGGTCATCATATTCAATAAGTACAGCAGGCAGTACACATACTGTACTAATATTATACTATGCTATGAACCATGACTGTGGTCTGCCAAGGCTGGGGGGTCTAAGTGACATCAATGTCAAGGTTGCATGACCCTCCACTTGGATCCTGTTTGGAATGTAAGTCCATTTTCCACTAACTGCTAACCACCATTGAACATTTTGCTTCTGTGTTGTGAGTCAAAGTGTGGTTCAGTGGTGAAAACCAACCAAAACCAACACAAAAGACAAAAAGAGCAAGTGGTGGTGTGCCTATGTGGTACCTAGATGGTAGAACCTGTGCTTTGGGAGGGTTTTTGCAAGCTACAACACTCAAAGATGAGTGCTGAGGGTTGGGGGTGCTCCTGATGAAGAAGAAGCAGGAATGCAAGAGAATGCAATAGGGTAGACTGCTGTCAGCCTACAGAAGGATGGATGATGACTTAATTCAATGTCATAAGCTGCACTGAGCTCAGGGAGGGCTTGGAGCAAAGTATATTGATGATAGACAAGGATAAGTGAAGTAGATGATAGTTAGACCCTTAATAAAGTCTCAACTATCAAAGCTGCTGAATGAATTACTGAGTGATAATAAAATGTGAGCAAGAGGGGCTCTCTATGTCTTCTTTTTTTGCTATCTAAGTACAGTGATTTATATACAGTACAGGGGTGTTGCCCTTGGAAAACAAGGTGCAAACACTTGGTAAGTGATTGGTAACTGATGAGAAAGGAATGTAAGCAATGGGTAATCATCTTGGAAAGCATTGGTAAGCATTGGTAAGGATTAGCAAGCCAAAAAGCAAAGAATCAGTAAGCAAAGTCAAAAGATTGGTAAGTATTGGCAATAGGTGAGTCAAAGACAGTCAGAATGTCAAAGTATGAGTCAAGTAATGTCAGGAACTGGGAAAGCACACTGGAATTGCATTAGGGGGAGGCTGTGCATGTCACATCTTGAAGAGATCGCTTCTAGGCCAAAGTGGGATGACAGAGAGGCAGCACTGATCCTGATGCCTGATATAGTACATCCAAAAGTGGACAGGGTGAGTCAGATGTCAACAGGTGTCAAGCTTTGGGGGTCTGTGGGGTGACAGGAGCATAGGGGATCGCAACTTTCCCCCCCAAACCATCCTCTCAGTGAAGCAAATAGAAACTTCATGAATGAGGCTCTGTTGGAAGAGAGGATGAAGGGGGAGTGTCTTCTGCTGTATCTTGCAACAAGGAGGCAAGATGTGCATCATACTCATCATGGATGCAATCAGGGAGAGTGGAGAACAGTAGATTATACTGTAGCTGTTGCAATCTTGGAAGAATGATGGACAAGACCTGGTATGAAGACATTGCAGGGAGCAGGGAGGAAGGAATCCATATGCTTCTTGGACCAGAGAGACTGAAATGACCACATAAGACCTTTCCAAGCGAATGACAGACCTGAGGTGCAACCAAAGAATGTCCTCCTAGAGGTCATACTGACAAAAAGAATGTGCTGTCCAAGCTGGATGGGCTGAGAGGGCACAGATGAGGGTGGGATGTACCAGGATGCTTCAGGACAGAAGCTGGTAGGAACTCCTGGTAGATATATGTAGCCATGGTCCCCTAGCAAAGGGGACAAGTGAAATGATTGATGTAGAGGCAGCCATATCAGAAGAAGTTAGTGAAATGAGCATCTTTTGGAGGGAGTGCTGTAGAAATGTGTGGAGTGTGCAAATCCTTTCCAATTCTGGAAGGTAAGATCACATGGCTGAGCACTACAAGCAAGTGTGGGAATGGTCTTGGTATCTGCAGAAATGGCAGAGATATGCCAACAACTGGAATGCTGTACATGGGTGCCTTAAGAATTTTAGCCAGTGCTTAACCTGCTCCCTTTCTTTTTCTCTGGCACTGATGACTTGTTCTTGTGTGAGGGATGACTGCTGACATTTCTGGCTGTCCTTCTTCACATGAGGGCTATGGTCTTCATCTCCATTCATCAGCTGTATCCATGTCCACCTCACCAAACACCTTTGGTGTGTGACAGTGTCCTGACACCATCCTGCATGATCAATGATGCTGGTGTGATCACAAGCAGTCAGTCACTCTGAATGGCCATCCCCACTGCCAAGGGCAAGCCATTGTGGCTGAGTGGCTGACTCAAAATTTGCAGTTCACATGCACCACCACCTGTGAGTTTTCTGGAATAAATGTACTTTACTATTTTTGACTTTTTTTGTGACTTTTTTTTCACTTTTTTGTGACTATTGTGACTATTTGTGACTTTTTGGGAAGGAACCTACTATCTGTACTTTTTTTTGACCATATACAGCATTTTGAAGAATGAAAAGAGAACAGAATCTATTGAGACAACTAAGTGATGATATATCTAGGCCAAGAGGACTAGAAAATATCTGAAAATTCAGAGATATTGAGCCATTGGTGTGATGCACACTGTCTGAGAGAAAAATCACAATATCTCTTTGGAACCTCCATCAATTTGAATGTATGTGGTATCTACTGAAAGCTATGAATTAGGTGATTTGAACGAGACAACAATAAGCAAGAACAGTGCAGCCATGCCTGCAGGACATGGGTAATGATAGTAGATTCCTTCCCAAAAAGTCACATTAGTCACAAACAGTTGAAAATAGTAAAGTGCTATTTTCCTGATGAGTACAAAACTGTTTACAGACAGTTCCTCTGTGGCTTTCACAACTTGCACATTGTAAGGATTCAGTCTGATGCTGTTGACTGTTTGGTTAGATGGTGAATTCCCAGTGACAGATCTACAGTAGAATACCTCATAATGCATCATAGTGGGTCTACCAAAAAGCTATGCATTAAGTTTGTTATGCACAAGGCATTGTCACACTTTGTTGCAAATTTCCTAGATCCATTACAAGTCATTAGCATACCTTAATAGGAGCAGATTTCCCATGCTGCCTTTAATGACTTGTAATGCCACCCACTTTCCATGAACATGCAGTTGAAATCATGTGTCATCTCATGATTATGACTTTGATAACTCATTATTTTACCTAATCATGGTATTATATTGCTGTGGCCTAATAATTACTTATAATGGCATGACAATGGCGAAGAGCCCATAGCAATACCAGTGGAACTCATCACAATGTATACTAACCATTATTATTTATTAATATTTTGATGATCCATTGTTATTTCATTTTGCCTTGGTACACTCATGACAATGGTTGAAATTCCATTCGGAAATCACTACTTATTGATGTATAGACAAGTGGTAGTAATAATTGGAGAGTTCTACCTAATAATGCCAGTGGTGCAAGTGGACATGCAAAGCAGACAATGAGTGACCAAGAGCAGTAAGGGGAGGAAAGGACAGCAGCTCAATGTAAGTATGGGGGTCATTGCAATGATGACACAAGGATGAAAGCAAATGCATATGCTGTCAACAACCATCAGATCATAGCTTACAGTGTAATTAAAATACTTATGAGATTAGTGAACCAATGGGAGTGGTGATATGGGGTGAATGGGATGAGGAAGATAGAATAAGTGTTGCACAAGAGGCATTCATAGTGCATTGAGCAATAGGACAATGGAGCTGGCATTGACACACAATGCTGTCACTGAGTTGTCTGGAACCTTGAAAAAAGTTAATGTCAGAAGTAATAATAGTGTCATGGGGGAAATGTACCTTGACCCTCAAACCCACTCCCCAGGTGACAGACAATGACAAACAAGCATGATGAGGTGGATAACAGTGACAACACTGTATGACAATGCAATGAACCAGGACAACAATGTGGGAGACAACAAGGCATGAGAAGAGGGGTGAGTCACTTATAATATAGCCAGCAGAGTTTGAATGACTTAGAAGATAATCAGATCAGGTAATTCCAGAGGATGATGGTGATGATGTATGATTGCAGCGAATGAACATATTACAAGTAGATCTATGTGACCTTGAAACATGAATTGCATCTAATATAATGGGATGCAAGCTAAATCAAAGACCATAGAACATATAGAAACCCAGCACATAAGTGACACCTGGTACTGCTATTAATTCAAACCTTTGTCTTCTTCAGTTTTGAGGACCTTGTAGTGGTAGCATGGTGACCATGGTGGGTGGGTTCCAGACCTGGTTCAGTAGCACAAATATCAGTTGTAAGACCCTTGGGAAACACCTCAGGAATGGCTGGAATTGCCTTTTGAGTGGCTGAGCTGTGCCAGTGACTCATGACTGGAATTGCTCATTGGGATCAAGATGTTTCAGCCTCAGCTGGGCCAGACATGTTCATCTGACCAACAGCAATGGTCACTGCTGACACCTCAACACCACTGTTTGAAGTCAGCTGCCCAATTTAGATAGAAGGGGATGATCAACAAGAAGCACCAGAAATAGTTTGAGCACTGAGATCAGCTTGTGCAGCAGTGACACTAGCTGGACGAGAGTGAGGGGGATTGAAATGAGTGACCAAGCCAGCAACAGGTGATGGAGCACAAGAGACTGATGACAGATTGGAGTCACATAGATCTGAATCACAGCCACCAGGGGCATTGGGGTCATGCAGTGTGGAAATGGGTGGGGTGTGACTCTCAGCAGGGTCAATGTTGTCAAGGTTGTCTAAAAATTCATCTTCCCAAGTACACAGCTGCTCCATGTTAGCAAATACCTCAGATTTGACATTTGCCAATTGAGACCCCTTCCCTGAAGACTTCCTGGTTGAAGAAATTCATTGTGCTGACAGCCCAAGGAGATGCTTTGAAAAGCTTCTTGAGGTAGAAATCATATTCTGATCAGTAGTTGACCTGTGTTTCTGCACCAGTAGCACTTAATTCAGGATCATGTGACAATAGGAATTGAACCTTGGTATGATATTGATGTCAGTATGTACTAGCACAGTGACCATGGACACCCTCACCAAGATGCAGGCACCAGCAATCAGGCCCTCAGTAATGCTCAGCACACCCATCTTCTGACCCCTGGCTGGGGGCTGTCCACATTTGTTTTCTGCAAGGATTGATTTTCCAAACATCAGGACATGGATAACCTATGGGCTGAAATCAATTTTTGAATAAGAGTGGCACTGAACCATGCATGCTTACCTTAACTAGGATGGGACTCTTCAAGAAGCCTCCAGTAACCATCTGCTTAGGATCTGCAAAAAGAATGGGTACAAAATGGGTGTATTCTCTGACTCCATCCTTCTTCAAGAGCACCAGGCATGCCTTGTTGTCCTTCTTACAAGTGGGCTTTCCAGTAAAGAGATCTAGTGAAATGTTATATGGAGCAAATAATGTGCCAGCACAGTCCTTGATGACTTTGAGGAGATTGGATCTCTCCTGACCATGCACTTGTATGAACTTAAAACAAATTAATATGTTAGTGGTCACCAAGGTTGGAATTACATGTACCACAGAGCCAAATTGCTTGTAGGTTACCATTGACTCATGTAAATCCATGGGAATCATCTCATAAAGCTCAGTCAGAGTGCCCCTTGAGCTTCCCATCCTGTGATTTCCACCATGCTGGATCATGTCAATCAGTATTGGGATTCAGAGTTGCTGGGAAAAGGCTTTGAATGATGAAAAAATGATACAGTAGGAGGTATTTCTTTGCTTCTTGCTCAATATGAGTTGTGAGGCTGTTTGACTTGCTAGATGTGTTCCTGGACCCCTTGGAATGCTGGCTATTGGCTTCAAAGAGAGCCTTCCTTGTCTGGTGCAGTTCCTTGTGGCATTCGGTGTATGCTCATTGCACAACACTGAGAGCCTAGCATTGTGTCAGCACTAATGCCCAGTGACTCATCATGAACAAGAATGTATAAATACATACCACTCACAGCTCAGCAACATCAGCTTGAGGTCCAGGAACATGAGTAAGTCACCTGTGCTGTTCAGTGTCACTGTCCAGGTCTTCCAAGTTGGTATTGTCTGTCCTTTTGTCAAGGTTGAAGTCTTCAGGACCTCCATCCTTGGCATCAGAGTTAATGGCATCATAAGCAGCAGTGGGTGCCATATCAGTGAAGGAAATGGATGTCAAGGATCAGAGGAAATGGTAAGACCACACACAGATGGTTGCAAACCTTTGCAAGCCTCCCTTTATTCTCCTTATTAAGGGCCACAGATGCCACAAATCCTGATGGAGGTTGACACCTGCCAGTTGGGTGCTCTTAGATGAATATGGAAATTTTGAATAGTACAAAAAAAAGCAATACATACATAGTAGTAGCCTCAGGGAATCCACATGGCAGACCAGTCAGCAGGTTGGATGTCAGTGGTTGGACATAACCAGCTATTGAGCCAGTCTGAGGACATAATAAAGCATGATTTGACAATGCCATCAGCAGTAGGTGACTACAGTATAAAAGTTGCTCACCTTAGTCCCTTTTGATATGTAATTGACCATGTGTTCCAGGGATCAATGTTGATGTGGTACAAATCACAAGTGAATAACTTATATGTGATGATGCAGGGTCATGGCATTGTCACATGAATTGACTCGACATTAACTTGAATCTGAAACTGACCTTTTGGGAGCTTTTTTCTTGCTTTCTTTCTGGTTATAATATTACAGCTGTTTTATTCTGTTTGTGTAATGTTACAGATTCTAGTATAAACAACAATGCTGGTGATGAACCCAGCCACAGAATACATGAGAAAAACTAGTGGAAGAGAGAGCAGAATGCTTTGGTGCTGTAAGTGGTTTGAGATGAGTTAGGGATAGGAGCAATAATGGGGAACTGCAAACTCACTGGGAGAAATATGAATCCTTCATGGGCAGCAGCAACTGCATGATGAACAGCTGCAGAACCCTGCAGCAACTCTGCTTTATACTGGAAAATAGACAGGAAAGATGTAACTGTGCTCAGAACAGAACATGAAATGGCAACCAGACCTCCAATGTGTGCGATACCATCCAGTCCCAGGAATGAGATAAGCATGTCAGAGGCACTGAGGATAATGCAGACTGCACAAGCAGAAAGCAGGGAAGGAAAAGAAGTTAGGAATGAGTATGACTATCATCATAATGATTAACCCTCACCACAAGACAGGTACAAGCACCAACAACAAACAGTGGTACACTACTCTGTGTGCTTGCATTCCCCTCCACATCAAAATGGCTGCTATATCTCACTTGATCCACAAACAAGAATGGGATGCCAAGGCACAGTATACTGATCAATATCTTGACTGCTGTGCATAGCATCAGGGTCTGCCTTGGTGTGTGTGTGGCAATGATGTCTCATGGGAGCAGTTTGTGTGGCCTGAAATTGACCTGATGCCAATGAGCTGATGAAGAATGTTAGCCTGTAAGAACATAACACTGGTAAGGGGTATGGTGCAAAAACTCACCAGCATGTAGAAGAATGTGAGCGACCATGTGTGTGTATGAAAGAGTGGATTGCTGACTCAGATCTGTTGAAAAAAAATCAGACAAGTAGAACTGAATGGAAATGTCCCAGCCTCACCATTGGGTAGTCTCAACAGTTCCTGACACTCCTCCTGACTAAAAGGTGGCTGAATTGGTTGGGGATGGGTGAGCAGCCAATCTGTGTAGGACCAATGTAGTATGTCCACAGCCTCCTGCCAGGACCCTTGGGAGAGAACCACATGGGCAGGATGGGTTTTGACATAAGACCAGTACCTGTACTTGTCATCTAGGCCTGCCAATGCACCAGATCAGCATGCAAAACTAGAGGAGAATGAGTACAACTCACAATTGTCCTCTCCCAAAACTCCCCCATCATCAGTGGGTGCATTGTTCAGAATCCACCTACACCTATGATCCACCCAAAATACAATCAAGTCTCCCATAGCTACACCCTTCTTTCTACTTCATGCCAACACCTTGTGACTCCTCCGAATCCACATCTCACATCCATCTGGAACTTGTCAGTCAGCCATGTTCTCCATGGCACTCTCCATAACCTCTCCACCTCCTCTAACCTTGCATGACTCCTCAGATCCAAATCTGTTGTAGCACAATTTTCAGGGTTGCCAAAATACTGAATCCCATGAGGCAACACATTTGAACCACCTGCTATCCACATAAGGTTGTCTCACAGAATTGTAGTGATTTTGAGTTGAGCTGTTGACATCTAATCAAGCTGGTCATGCCCATTGAGGTGTGGGCTGTGCATCTGCTGGTGGGTGTGCAGTCCTAGAGGCACAGCATGATTGTGCAACTGAGTCAGATGCTGTGTGCCCCAGGAAAGTGGTGATAATTGGGGGTGTCTATGGGTGTGAATTAAGAAGAGGATGATGTTTGCTGTAAGGAACTGCTTTAGTCAGAAGACAAGACAGAACTGAGAGATGTATGAAGAAGTAGAAGGCAGCCTTACTCCTGATTTCTTCTAAAGTAATCCATCAAATCGCTTCTGGCTGCACCAAGATTATATCTGGAAGGTTGACAAGAAGGTCTGGTCAACATCAACACCACACATACTTCCAAGAAGCAGGTACTCACTATGAGGATATGACTTCATGCATGAGTGGAAGGCTAGGCAGGTTCCCCTCAGTGAATGAAGATCAAATGGTCTTGCACATTTAGCATGTTGGAAATGGTTTAGGTTGTACCACTTACTCTGGCACATGGATGGTCTTAGCAGGAGATACAGTGGCAATGGCTTGTGCTACCTTCACAGACACCCACACCATGCTACTTGACATGATGGAATGGGGACAGAGTGTGAAAAAGCATGTATAGTGGGTCAAACCATGGGCAGGATGGAAAGTTGCAAAGAGGGACTAGTTGAGTACACAAAGACTTCATCTTGCTCACAACATGTATTGTGAGTTTTGTATATGTGCATGTGAACATGAAAAAAAATGAGACCAGATACTGCATTCTGTACAAAGATCTGACATTGTCAAGGAAAAAAGTCAGCAGGTAAGTGCATGATGAATTGGATACAAAGGTGAAAGGGTATGCTCAACTTCCCAATACTCATCTGACTTGAATGCATTCTATCATGACCTTGACTGGCCAGCGATGCATCCATTGTATCTACAGGTGCAAAGTGTCACCAATGCTCATTCTGTTTCCTGATGCCTTACCATATGCCCATAAACTCATGTCAGTAGTGTATCCACCTTGAGTAGTATCTTCAGCACTCTTGCATCCTCACAGTCTCTGTTTGTCCAGTATCTGTTTAAATTAGTAGCTTCTGTTCTTGTGTCATATGAAATTCACCTTGTGCCTCATTCATGAATTCCCCTCACTGACAGTCAACTGTTGGTCTCTTGTGAGGCATGACTTTTGATTCCCCCTCCATACTTGGCAACTTCAACTCGAAATCTCCTCTTCCATACTCAGCAACTTCAAATCTGCCCCTTCCCTGCCCCACCCATGTCCCCTGATGCATTCAAAATTCCCAATGGCGCTTTGACACCCATTGATGTGCCCAAGACTGCTGAGGCAGTGACAGACATGTTCAGCAATTTGTACAGCTTGGTGGTATGTCTTCCATTCTGCTTGTGTACTAGTCTGTTGATATTGACTTGCCACTAGAATTTTTCTCCCAACAGTTTCACCCCCCAAATGGGCTGCTCCTGCTGCTGTCACTACACCCTCCACCATAGACCCTGCATTACTCTCCCTTGACACTTATCCCCCTCCTGATGTCCCAGCCAATGATGTTCCCATCACTGAGATGATTAGGCATGATGCAGATGTCAACTTCCATTTGATTCTGACTTTCCACAACACCCTACAAGCCATCATCTATGTGCTGGACTGTTTCCTTGCTGAACAAGTTGTGTCTGAGAAGGTCCTTGGAAAATGGAAGAGGGAGGACTAGGGAAGGGAAGAGGAGCTGAATTGTGGTTTCTTCACCTTTGAGGCCTCAACAGCCTTGTAGACCTATATACATCCCTTTGCCCTGTAGTTTCAACACTTTGTTGGTCAGAGCATATCTCTGTAGTTGTACATAAAAAAAACAAGACCATTGTCCACTCTGGCAGCCTGCTGTCCAGCATCTGGTAGATTGAGTTTCATGTGGTGGGCATAACAAGTAGTGAAACAGACCTCACCATATTCCCCCAATGACCCCCTGTGTCAGTGCACTTACTACTTACCACTTTGCTCCACAGCAGGGGGGAAAAGAGTTGGGCATGTGTCTGATGTGGTCCATTCCAGAGTGGTTGCCAATGGTATTAATTGTGACTTACTATTTCTTGATGCTGGCTTCAATCTGTCACCCAAGTACCTTTGATCTACTACTGAGCATGTTGCAAGTCTTCAGTTTCCTTGCTAGGATGGTTGACAGCTTGCAAAGGACAAGACAGTGATGGGTCAGAACAGACATCTGCAATGTGCTCAAAATTCTCTGGTTGGAAGGCCACTAGAGATGGTAAGTAACCTACATCACCTGTGTCCATAGGAACATATCACTATCAAGCTGCTCAACAACAAAAATTTTGTCATCATGTTTGGTGTCAGGTGCTAGAACAGCCCCTTGGATGATCAGGCACAATGGTATGAAGATGGATGCAGCCCATGGAATTGTCTTGACACATTTGAGTCTGAGATCATGATCAATAGTGTGGGCCAGTCCAATCCTTGTCATGAAGGGTTCTGCCAAGATAAATTCCATGTTTCCTATGTCTGGAATGACACAGGAAAACATGCAGATGAGACAAACAAAGGTGGTGTCTGTCTCAGTCTATTGAATAAGTGCACAGTCATAGTGGGGCACACCAATAAATGATGGGTTTCAGTGGAGATGATCTGTGCACTGGTTCCAAGTGACAGTTGACTTGTAGTTGACCAGCAGATAATGGTATTCTTTAACCTTAGCACAAGCACAGTTTCAACTAGATGAATGCATAATGAGAGTGTAGATACATACCATGAAGTCAGTGGGGAGGGAGATCCATGACTTGACTTGATATCCATATGCTGGAAGGGTGTCATTAAGGAACTTGCAGAACCTTTGACAGAACTGATGGAATGCCATATCTGGCTGACCATTTTCCTCCAAGTCTTTCAGGGTTTGGGTCATGACACCATGTGCACCAAGCTTAATATGATCAACTGAGGTATGCTCACTGACTGCATCAACTTCTTGATCTGATTCCCCAGAGACAGATTTCTTGAGGTGATCAACATGCAATCTGAGAAGCTTTGTAGCAAGAACTTGATGATCTACCCACAAGACCTAACATGCATTTTAAAGTGACTGTGAGTAGGAGTGTTGGCACACATGGTTGTCATACCTGAGCAGGAACATCTCTACTGTTTGAACAGTGTTCATATGCATCTTGGATTGGCTTATGCATACTTTTGTTGGGCCAAGTGCTATAGTTGCATGCAGCACCCTTTGGGTGGATATCTCAAATGACATGCTCCCAGAGGTGGACCTTCAGGAAATTCCAGTCAGTTCGCAGACCATCAATGTTGGACTTCATGATGGATTTGGTGTAGTCCTGAAAATGACACATTATGACAAATTGGCATGAGCACAAAGTGTATAACTACCTTCAGTGTCTGATCAAATGTCAATATTTTGTCATTGATCATGTTAACCATACATTCAGTCTGGACATCTAAGCCAACAAGGCTATCAAGCTGTAGGTATTGGATGACTCAGGAGGAGCTGGTACCCTTCAGGGGTTATACTCTTCTTCAAAACATTGATCCCCACATAGAAGGTTTGCTAGGGGAAACAGTTCATTGACAGCTGTCCAGTATTGGACACATGTACCTTGGAGATATCAGCCAGCTTGTTACCATCTGAAAAAGTGACATGAATAACTTGGTTGAAGTGTGCAAGGTTTTGCCAGTGAGGAAAACTTGCAACACTGTCATTGTCAAATATGAGAAGTGACAATGTTCAGAGTGATTGATTGTAAAACAGTGACTCACTACTTCTTGACATCAGCTTTGATCTGTCACCTGAGCGCCTTTACAATCACCTTTAGGTCCCCAAAGACATGCTTGCCCCAAAAACCATGCCCATAATGCAGTCGATCAAAGCTGCAGGCAAGGTGGAGATCAGAAACCCAATCAGCCAGAACATGTTCTGCATCCCATTATATATTAGTTCACTGATGGTGATTTGTTGGTGGAAACTTACTTTGATTGGTCATAAACCTAACCACTTCAGCAATTCATCAGCCTTTGGCTTGATTTGTAGCATGAACACATAACACATTGATGCCCTGGGTGTGTGTACAAGGTTCAAAGGTCCTAGAGAGGTCATGGAGTAGCTCTGATGGTACAAGACATACAGGGCAAGGGCATTTGCCACCACAACCATGAGTGAGTGCCATCATGCATCTGTAGTAGGCCATTGAATTAGTATCATTAGTCCTGAGCAAGAAGAAGGAAGTATATTACATCTCTTCAAAATTGGCAGACAGCATCATAAGACTTGGAAAGAGCCAATGGGTAATGTTGTTGTGCAAAGATGTATGTACATACCCAGTCTTTGAGTACTGCTCAATCTCCAGAAGTAACTTTTTAAAAGATTCATGCCAAATGACACGCTTGAGGGTTGTGTAGCCTAGCTTTCCCTCTTCTTTGGCATCTTCAGGGACCTGAAATGTTCTTAGCCTATACAAATATCTAAACAGTGGATGTCATTCACAATAGGCAGCCAGCCAACAACAGTACCTCTTCCAATGACATTGCTATTCTGAATCTCAACCAGCAAGTTTGCACAGCATCAGTAAATCACTTTGTGAGCTGGTAGTCCTAGGGAATCTGTCCAGTGCTGGACAGCTCTGGACAGCTCTGGCCAGCAAAAGTGATTTACTGATGAGTGCACAATGATGGGGTAACTCTTGGCAGTGCTGAAAGACAATAGGTTGGATTTGTCAGCATAAAGGATCAGGCCAAATGGCATGGTGCTCTTGATATCTGGTAGACTCAACTAGTGCAAATACAACATGTTATGTACAGGTAATGAATGACATATTGACCAGGCACATACTTGAATATCCCACCAATAACCTCCAGTCCAGGGCTCATCATAAAAATGTTCATACTCAATGCTGTTGTGCCTGTAAATTCGCTGTGTGTCCCAGGTGAAGTGCAGACCAAGGAATGGATTTTCTAAGATATCAAGTGCCCACTCCCACAGTGGGCAAATATGTGCTTTGAATGTACATTCTTCCTTTTTGTATGGTACCTTAACTTTGACCCTGGAGAACTATTTAGATAGGTAGGACAGATGGCGATGAATGGATATTTGAAAATCATACTGGGGTGAGTTCCATCACAGCTGCATCACATGCTTTGCAAAGTTTGGCATCATTCTTGAGCATGACTTGGATGGCTCCCTGTGTGACACAAGCAAAGAGATCCAGAAGGGCATTGACTTGTTGCTGGTTGAGTAGTGAAGCAAGTGTGATTTCTGCAAACTTGAAGTTGCCCAACATGCAAAATGGGGACCAAGGTGTTTTGTCAACCAGGGATGGGGACTTCTCACTGCAAACACAGAACTCTTTGTAAGACTGATAAATTGGTGGTCAATTGCTTCTTGGATGAAATTGGATCATGAATTCAGGAAGTTTCGCCACATTAGAACTTGTGGCAGTTGGCATTGACACAACTGAGGGAATTATGAGCACTACAAGAATGTGTGCCAAAGTGAATACATACCTGAGGCTTGGAGAATGTTGCTCATCTCATTGTAATCTTGTCCCATAGTCACCTCGACTGCAGCTGCAGTTTGTCTGAGACTAGGACCACAACATAAATGAAAATCAGACTCACTGGGTTCATCAATGAAAAAATATCCTGTATCTGTACAGTGAGCTTTGGGCACTTGAGGCTGCGATTTGAGCACCAATGCTCTTGCAGCTCAGTGGTGGGCAGCTGAGTTAATAATTGAAGCCAGAAACCATTACATTGGGTTTGCCTGCACTATGCACCAATTCATGTACCTCATTGTTTCTCTTCATATCAATGTTCAAAAGCTGCACACTCCCTCTCATCTTCTTTGCACTTCCTGCAACTCACCTCATGCTGCTTGAAACCAGTTTTCTGAAATTTCCTGTTACAGTGAGGGCATTGATGGAGAATGGCATGATTCTGTTCAGCATTTTGATGGGTCAAAGCTGAATAGGTGGTATGGGAGGGAGCCATGAGAGAAGATGCACCTCAGGTAACCATTTTTCATAAGCATTTAGGCTGAATAGTTTCTCCAAACCATCCAGCCTAATAGCCTCCCAGACCAAGGTCTGCCCAGGGACATCTGGTCATGTCCCAGGGCTATGCAGATTTTTAGGCCCTGGGACAGATTGGATTTCCCACATAGCCATCCATTCAAATGCAATTATTTGGGATGTCCCAAGACTGCCTTGGGTGACTGGGGTCCCTACTCCTGAAAGTGCAGCTTAATATTAGCATTGAAATAGCTGCAGAAATCCTAGCCCCCTTGCTCCTCTGACAGATTTAATCCACAAAGCATCCTTTGACCTATACATCCCCTCCCATCCCACCATGCATAGTAGTATGCAATAGTACTTTTCATGTACATCTTTGCAATGTGATTCTGCTGTATTGGGACATCTCACTAGTTGCCAGGGAGATGACACACCTGGGCCTCCACATTTGCCTTGAAAATTGCAATAATAAATTCAATCAATTTGTGTCTATACCTCATGCAATTTGTACTGTATGAAGGAAGAAGTGAATGGTTTTTGAACACTTGTGTGACAGGCCAATATCTCAAAGTCCCCCACATAGAACATGGGGTTGGTCACCTTTGCAACACCATCTGCAGAGGGCAGAATGTCCCAGATGAGCCTCTGAGGTTGTCATGGGGCATTGTGCTGGTCTGCAAAGGTAACTTAGGAGGATGTGCCATCATAGCCCACTGAGGCTGGGATGGGACATCTCACTGACTTTCATAAGGGGACCTGGGATGTCCCACAGCAGCCTCCAAGGCTGCCTTGGGACATCCCACCCTCCCCTTTGCCAACCAGTGGGATGTCCCACAACAGCCTCTAAGGCTACATTGGGACATCCCACTGTTCCCTCTGCCAAGCAGTGGGATGTCCCACAACAGCCTCTAAGGCTATGTTGGGATGTCCCACCCTCCCCTTTGCCAACCAGTGGGATGTCCCACAACAGCCTCCAAGCCTACATTGGGACATCCTACCCTCCCCACTGCCAACCAGTGGGATGTCCCACAACAGCCTCTAAGCCTACGTTGGGACATCCCACCCTCCCCACTGCCAACCAGTGGGATGTCCCACAACAGCCTCTAAGGCTATATTGGGACATCCCACCCTCCCCTCTGGCAACCAGAGGGATGTCCCAACACAGCCTCTAAGGTGTTGAAGTAGTAATCTGCACTAATCCTACAAGCACCATAGAGAATCCAATGCAAGGTAGCTCCATGGTCAGAGCAGCTGCTTGACACTGAGAGGGTCCTGGCTCAATGCCAGCTCACTCTCCAGCAGCCAGTGGGATATCCCACAACAGCCTCTTAGGCTAAGTTGGGACATCCCACTGTCCCCCTTCTGAGACTGGTGTGGGGCATCCCACCCTCCCCTTTGTCACCCAGTGGGATGTCCCACAATACCCTCTAAGGCTACATTGGGACATCCCACCCCCCTTCTGGAAAGCAGTGGGATGTCCCACAGCAGCCTCTAAGGCTACATTGGGATGTCCCACAACAGCCTCTAAGGCTAAATTGGGACATCCCACCCTCCCCTTTGCCAAGCAGTGGGATGTCCCACAACAGCCTCTAAGCCTACATTGGGACATCCCTCCCCCCTTCTGGCAAGCAGTGGGATGTCCCACAGCAGCCTCCAAGGCTACATTGGGACATCCCACCCCCTCTCTGTCAAGCAGTGGGATGTCCCACATCAGCCTCTAAGCCTACATTGGGTCATCCCACCTACCCCTCTGCCAACCAGTGGGATTATTCTACATTCTACCTATGCATATGTCTTGCAAACATAATGCTCAAAAAAAATTCTATTTAAACACACCAAATAGATTATAAAATGTCTCTATCACCCTTATCTGTATTGAACTCTTTTACTTGGAGATGATGGTGGTTGGATAGTTGTCAATGTGCAAGGTACAGCTGAAGGAGGGAAGGGATGACAGTGTGTGACCACTGCTGCCACTGCTTCATTTTTTTTCAGGCATTCCTAGATGGTGACCAAAGCAGGTCTTGGCTAATATGTAGCCCATTGGTTAAGTGGTTGAAAGTGGCATCATGGGAGAGGTCACATTCACTATGCACAGAAGGCTCTAACAGGCAAGCAGCGCTTGAAGCAGAGTGGTGTCAGATGTGTGGGTCAGAGGAATCACCGGGGTGTTGTGTGAAAGCACAATGGCCAGGTAAGGTGAGCAAGTGCTCAACAGGAAGGTAAAGCCCCACAGTTCTGGGAACACAGCATGAAGGTTCAGCAGTCTGATGGTCAACAAGGACCATGAGATCACCCACATAGAGCAAGTCAGGAATCTGGTTCATCGGGGCAGTAACTTGTACAGAGGGACCATGCCTAGTAAGCTGTTTTGGTCAATGAAGAGACATCTATGAAATTTGGTCAGACACATAAACTGTCTAGGCAAGTTAGTGGTAGATGATGATCCTGCAACACCAAGTTACAGGACTGTGACCAGGACACTGAATCCTGGTTGCTGGAAGGCAACCCCAAGATGCCACCAGCATGTCTCCAATAGTTAGCCTCCAGCATAGAAAAGTGAACTGACCTTTGCACACAACTAGCAAAGGCAATGGGGAAAGAGATGGAGCAAGTGTGCAACAAACAAAATGAGATTGTAATTGTGGCATGCTACGAATATTGTTCAGGAAACATACAGAGTAAAAATGGTATCAGGGAATGATGAAGGAGGTTACCAACTATTTGAACTGTAACCACATGGTGCAGTTGGAATAAGGCAGGGAAGAAGGGGTTATTCTTTTCCATTGCCCAGACACATGATGATGACACTAATGGCATAATTGGCTCTGCCAAGTCTGAGGGGCATCCTGGCCATACAGCAAGTAACACCTGGAGCTTCTCTATGTACTCCCATTTCGATTGAAAGTTGGACGAGCCAAGGCCTTGATTTTGCTGAGGGAAAGGCTCAGCACACATGGTGAGTTCTGAATCACCAGGGAAAATCTGCATAGAGTTCAGAAACAGTGCATTCCTGGTGGGGTAAAATTGTACATACCTGCTGGACATGATTGAACTGCTCTGAATCCCAATTCAACCACAAGCTAGGCATCATTGCACAGTCAAGAGTGACCAACTTGAACCAGAAGTTGTGTTCATATAAATCCCATAAACTCTTGCTTTTCATCATCTGATCAATGGTAGTGAGGTCTGCAAGGGAAATTGAAATATCCCAGAATTGTACATGGCTAGGTATGTCATGTTGGAGGCTGATGAGCTTGGGACCAAAGAGGGTGGCAGATTCACATAGTCAGTCACCAGAAAATGTGGATGAAATCTGCTTGGGAATTGTGTTCAGGAAATCCCACCAGGACTGAGGGATAACAGGAGATGCATCCAAGGCAGAAAGATGAGTGATCCAACCCACTTGAGAGACTAGCCAATTCCTTAGGTACCTCTGCTGGCGATTGGAGGACTCGCCCCTCACAAACAGACTCAGGCTGGGAAAGAAGTAAGCTACCTTGGGCACATTGGGACTAACCCTTTTTGCATCCTTATTCATGTCCTTCAGGGCAGCGTGCCATGGAGACATAGCAGGGGGAATAGCTGGATTGCCGAGGTCTTCCCACAGTTCAGGATTCAGAACAACCGATGGCTTGGCTCCTCTCGAGCCTGCAGGGGGATCTGAGCAAAATGTTAAACACACTGAGACAAAATGAATGGGATACATACATGGCTGATTATGTTGTTGAGCCCTGCCCATCCTAACAGCTCCTGTACTTGAACTTGCACTGCTGGAACTTGCAGCATTGAAAGCCATGGGACCTGTGCTTGTGGGAGTTGAGGCCACACCACTGCTGGTGTGTGGTGATTCTGGCCAGGGAGCTGCAAATTGCTTGAGCCCAATCACCAGGCCTTGTCAAGTGTGCCTGTGGCACAATTCACCAGGGTGGTGCCAGGCACTGTGCCATTTCAGCATCTGCCCAACCTCAAACCTCAGGATCTGTGACTACATCATGAGGGCACATAATCTTGACAGTCTTCAACACTTGCATGTCTGGGAGTACATGATCAGGTTTCCAGACCATCCAGAGAGGCATGCATATTTCAAAAAGGTGCTGGCAAATGTTGGGGTCTGTCATGAATGCCCCAATCCAGCAGTCAAATGAATTGATGAAAGTGCCCATAGCAGGGTTGAGGTCTGTGTCCAGATATTCTAGCATGCCAAAGACATCTAGGAGGAGGCATTGACAAAAAGCAACCAATATGACTGTGTCTCAAAACATAAATGGGAGTTGCTAGAGTAAATTTTAATTAACAAAATCTGAACCAGAAAAAAATCATACCTTCAGATGCAGGAGACATCACTGACATGACCCCAGCCAAAAATCAGGTCTCAGAGGACCTTCATAGTGGGGGTGCTTCTTTAGCCAATCTTGCCAATGTTTGTCTAGTCAATTATAAATGGTCTCCATTGACTTCCACTTGTCAGCATGAATCCTGCCAACTTTGAAGGCAGACCCTCTTTCCAGCACAAAATCCTCTGCTGACTGGGTAACATTCCACCACAGCCACTTCCATGTTGGGTTGTCTCCATAGGCCACTTTCTGGGGGACACATGGACTCCATGTGTAGCATTCTGCAAACAACTGTTGCCATTGAAAACAGTCACCAGAGTCTGCTGACTTTGACCAAGCAATGTGGTAGTTACCAGAGAAGCAGTTGCAGAATTTATGGCAACTAACACTTCCCAATATAGACAATGCCCCCTGAGTGACAACCTCTGTTGGTGTTTGAAAAAAATTCAGATTGGAATGTTCCCATGGCAGGTTACCCTGTCACAAATATTGATAATTTGCACCTGTACTGTGGCTATACAGATGAGCAGGTGACCAGTAGATGTGATGGTCACATAATGAGTGACATAAGCAGGGATGACCCTAGATCATGTGATTTTACACAATTGATTATGTGATGGTGATCCTCTGGAGTGTTCTGTTATGTAATATATCACATGATTGTGGGAAAATATGCATGTGACTTAATCAATGTCACATGACAAGGTACAATCATAGATCATCCAACCTATTACATAATGATCACATGTCAGTTTCTCCCCAGAACACTTGGTTATGTAATGGGTCACATGAATGTGAGACAATAGACATGTGACCACTCCTGCAGCATCACATGACAAGGTACAATTATAGATCATGTGACCTGTTATGTAATGATCATGTGGCAATAACTCTCCAAACCATTGGCTTATGTAATAGCTCACATGACTGTACTCATCATGTGATCTCACCTCTAGCACTCTGCATGTGACTCAATCCATATCACATGACCAGCAATCCCCCCCCCCCTATTTGCATGCTGGGCATTTGTGGCTGTGCTAAAAATGCAAGTTGTGTCCCCACCCATTCAATTCTTGACATATGGATCTGAATTTTTGTGTGTAGAATAGGCTACCATGTTGCTACACATTGTCAAGGCACAGGCTGTCTGGTCCAGTAGTTGCTGAGATATAATGGAAATGAAAATGCTAACAAAACATCACACCATTCAACTTACACATCCTTCATGCCATATCTGACACTTCAGGAGGGTTGCAGAAGATTCCTTCAATGCATTTCCAAAGTTTCAAGTCTATCCATTTAGAATTGAGTGAACAGCAAGCCAAATACTGATCCCAGAAGCATGGGAAAGCTTCAAACAAGAGAAAATAAAATAGTGGAGATTTTGAAAACATATCCAAAACATAGCACAGCACATCCCACAGTGCAGCTACCACTACCAGAACTTAGGTGAGGGATATTGGGACATGGTGGAAGATATTAGTAACAAGTGCCTGATGTGATACTCACTGCAAATGGTCAAAAATGCGAAGTGGTACACTTGACTCATTGAAACAATGGGAGATTTATGCCAGTGCAAGGTCAACACCACTGCCCCATTGCACACATTTTCGCAATCCTGACATGTTTAAGTGGATATCTCACCAGGCACATGGTGCCAACATGGTAGGCCATATTGCCGCATTCCTCACCCAAAGTCTGGGGTTGGCAGGGTCACTGTGATGTGTGCAAATCCACATTTTTGATATGTTTTCAAAATCTCCATATGTTATTTTTGGGACTTTGTCCCATTTTCCCACACTCTTGAATCTTTGTTTTGCATCTTGCTCTCTCAGATCTGAGTGGGGTGACACCAAACTTTGTCTATCAATTAATATGCATGTGTCCAACTGTTCTGAAGTGTCAGATATGGCATGAAGGATGTGTAAGTTGAATGGTGTGATGTTTTGTTAGCATTTTCATTTCCATTATATCTCAGCAACTACTGGACCAGACAGCCTGTGCCTTGACAATGTGTAGCAACATGGTAGCCTATTCTACACACAAAAATTCAGATCCATATGTCAAGAATTGAATGGGTGGGGACACAACTTGCATTTTTAGCACAGCCACAAATGCCCAGCATGCAAATAGGGGGGGGGGATTGCTGGTCATGTGATATGGATTGAGTCACATGCAGAGTGCTAGAGGTGAGATCACATGATGAGTACAGTCATGTGAGCTATTACATAAGCCAATGGTTTGGAGAGTTATTGCCACATGATCATTACATAACAGGTCACATGATCTATAATTGTACCTTGTCATGTGATGCTGCAGGAGTGGTCACATGTCTATTGTCTCACATTCATGTGACCCATTACATAACCAAGTGTTCTGGGGAGAAACTGACATGTGATCATTATGTAATAGGTTGGATGATCTATGATTGTACCTTGTCATGTGACATTGATTAAGTCACATGCATATTTTCCCACAATCATGTGATATATTACATAACAGAACACTCCAGAGGATCACCATCACATAATCAATTGTGTAAAATCACATGATCTAGGGTCATCCCTGCTTATGTCACTCATTATGTGACCATCACATCTACTGGTCACCTGCTCATCTGTATAGCCACAGTACAGGTGCAAATTATCAATATTTGTGACAGGGTAACCTGCCATGGGAACATTCCAATCTGAATTTTTTTCAAACACCAACAGAGGTTGTCACTCAGGGGGCATTGTCTATATTGGGAAGTGGTAGTTGCCATAAATTCTGCAACTGCTTTTCTGGTAATTACCATGGTCATTTGGTTGAAATCAGCTGATATGGCTGAAACAGTCTATATGGCCAAACCATCCATCATGCAGGGGCATGATTGTTTCTCTATCAAAGATGAAGGGTTGGGGAACATAGTCAGCATTCAGTGATGTGATCCAGTGGTTGTCACACTTCACTAGGACATGTGCATCGAATACACCCCATCTCCCTGAAAATAATGATAATCAATTTGAGCTGAGTTAGGGACAGTGAGAATGCACTGTCACCAGGATGGTTGCACAATGACAATTCATAAGGGTGAACACTAGCTACATTCATCCTGGAAACAAAAGAAGTCAGTCAGTACTTACTTAAATTGATGGAGATGATGATGAGGGGAGAAAAAAATGAATCATGCAGCATTAAGGCCAGTGTAACTGAAGTGAAATGAGAATGTTGCCCTTGATAGGCCCCAAGCCCATTGAGAACTTGTGAGGCACCAAACCTCAGAGCACTTGGCAGACAAACACTCCAAATGTTTGGCTCTGAGTACAGCATAAGTTGACTGGATGTTTGAAAGAAAAGTATGAATGAAAGAGAATAAAAACTTACTTTCAAAAAACAAGGTGACAATGATTAGTGTATTAACTCTGCATGCATATAGACTATGTTAATGCCTGAATTTTGATGAAGAAACACCCCAGAAACCATGAGGATAACTCTTGATAGGCCCCAAGCCTATCAAGAACTCGCAGGCACCAACCCCCCGAGACCTGATGGACAAACACTCCAAATGTTCATGGAAAGAGTGACCAGGCCATCTGGAAAAGTAAGATGGAAAAGATAGAGGGAAACTTACCTTGCACTGAATTGGTTAATATGGAGGGGCATCAGCAACTCGAGGTAGTAGGTAGCACTTACTAGTAGTGGTGAGAAATATTACAGGTACTGCTGTGCATGTGACCTGCACCACAAATGAATGTGACACCTAACTTACAGCATGCTCAAGGAAGACATTGAGTCTAGGCTCTAAATTGTCAAATAATCAGGTGATTAAATATAAGTTTTGTGTTCCATATTTCATTCCTCAATGTTCTGGACTGCCTATTGTAATATTCATGGGAGACATGTTCATGCATTACAGTAATGACATGTTGATAAGCTACTTATAGCAAGTCCTAGTTACAAGTACTAGTGTGCCATTGCTACTTTGTTAATAGATTTGGCCACTTCTACTGATGTGACTAAAGTTTCAATGAATGACAGAATTTTAACATGTCATTTCACAATTGCACAATTGTTACATCATCACAGCTGAAACAAACATTTGCACCACCTGCAGCTAGTACTTAGCAACACTCTCATCTTCTGTACGCTGTCCACATGGTATTGGGGGAACACTCAGTGTGTTCCTCTACCATATGTCAGGGGCTTGGTGCCCTTGACAGCCTTGAAGGCTTGGAGCCTTCAAGGGCAGTCTTAGTGTCCAGTGGATCTGACAATCAGTCGTGTGATGACAGTCAAGACTGACCCTCATCTTTCAGCAATGTTAACAAAGGTTTTTCAGGTCAGTGCTTTCAACTTAAGTTATGTGCCATTATGCTTTGCAGTCTACTGACCCATTTACCAGCACATACTATGTGTACTAGGTCCATTGTTCTCACCACCTCTGGCTGCACTCCATCATTCCACCTGGCCAGTATATGCCTTCTATAGTGATGCCCTTGTCTCCCCACTCATCTACCCTTGGTACAGATTCAGTGATTGATTGCATAGATGATAGTGCAGTTCTCCCCTTGCCTTTTAGTCCTGAAGATTCAAGTTAGCAACACATCTGTTCATAACTATCCCTGCCAACTGAATACATGGTGTGTTCCTCTATGGTATCAGAGACTTGGTGTGATGTTACCTTCAAGGGCAGTGATTCTGATTGTCAATCTCGAGTTCTTCCTTTCTACTATGAATGTTCTCCAGGTTGCCTCATGATCAACCATGTGAAGTTCTAATGCAGGTACATGGTTAGCTTTTCAGTGTATCTTATCCATCAATTTCTGCTACTTCCTCCAGGGTATTATGAAGAGTTATGTCACATCTAAGTGCATGATTCATCATGGTTGAACTTCTGGTTTTCCCACAATGGCTTCTGACAAATGGGGAAAGGGAACTGAGGTAGCCTTCTGCTGGAGATCCACTGTCATACTTACAATTCTCTGTGCATTCACTCTCCAGCCTTTCCTTCCCATTCCCTGACCCACCATGTCTGAAATACCTTCACCCAGTACTGGATTGGATATAAGCTCTAGCAACCTTAGTACATGTTTTTCTGACTAACTCCTGATGACTAATGCACATTTTGGCACAGGCACTCTAATTACTCTGATTGGAAACCTCAAATTGAATGCAGCAGGTGCTGAAACACTAGCAAGTGCTTTGTTACTAAGATCTTGTACTGAAGGTGAGTATGTTCTTAAGTGACATTTCTGGACTGATCATATTGCAGCCTTCATAGGGTCATCTGGCTTGCAACCCACATAGCCCACAGCAGCATTATGCCCATTGAGTCTGGGGGTTTCAGGATTGTTGTCCTGCAAAGAGTGTACACCTGCCACCTTATTCCCCTCAATCTCCATTTACATGGAATTTTCCACACTGCCAGTATCAATACATCTAATGCCACCTAACTTGACTGATCCCTCCATTATTCTTGTCCAGGGCCACCCAGATCATGAAACAAGGGTTCCATATCTAGCAGATGACTGTGTGCATACTCCCACCAGAATGTTTTTTACCATATCCATGTAAAGACTAACAGCTATTGTATTATCTGTTGGCAAGTATTTCTCATGGCAGTCTCCAATTAATTACTATGAAGTATAAATCCTGAGGCCACGTATTGCATATGGCAGCCTGACTGTGAGGCAAGTCACAACTTGGCACTTTCCATCCTTTGTAAATTTCTACCATTCAAGCTCTACCACTTAGTAGTGGAATGCTTGGAGTGTCTCTCTGCTAAATGTCATGGGCTTGGTGCCCTTGACAGCCCCTGAAGGCTTGGAGCCTTCAAGGGTAGTCTTGGTGTCGATCTGGTGATCAATTGCACAGATGACAATGACCCTCGTTGCTCAGTACCAGAGATTCATTTCAGCAACAACTTCACCCAAAGGTCATTGTACCTCCAATGTTTGGTCTACATTATATGCTTGATTTGGCTTTTGATCATGTGAAAGGGACTGTGTCTATCAGACTGCATCAACCCTGCTCTCATCAGTGACTGCCCTTAGGGGCTTGAATGATTCATTTTCTGTCTAGTAAGCCCATTCCTTTTTCTATTGCTGGATACTGATGAACTTTTGTGGTTTTTCAGTCCTGAGGAAACCCACTTTCTGGGCCATGCAGATGGAATACTGCCATTCTGGATTTTGATTGGAATTCCACCCATATGTTTCCATTTTAATAGGTGTGTCATCCTCACTATGCATTACAACCACTTCTTTCCTGCATGCTTTTCCTTTGTCCCCCTTACATTGTGTCCTCTTTTTGTGGTTTCATATGTCCTTGCTGATGCTATATGCAGAACTTTGCACACTGAGACAACATGTTCTAGATAGATTTTTTTCCCCATGTGGTTCATCTTGGCTTGATGTGCTCTGACCTTAAATACTTGCCTTGCCTCCCCCCATTTCTCAACACCCCCATACAACCATGCCCCACTCTGCTGATATCCTGGAGCCTTCAAGGGACTCTGTTGCTGACTTGAACACTTGCATTCTTCGCAACCAAAGGATTCCATCCTCACAAAATGCCCCAGTTTCCAAATGAGTAAAAAAAGGTGCTGTTGTCTCTAATGATGGAGTGCAACACTCAGAGGTACATCTTGTAGTGTATTTCTCATCCATTACTCTAACATCATTTTCTGCTCATGGCAATCTACTCTGAAGGATATGATTGGCAAACTGAAACTGTGGCACACAGTCCAGCCTCCCGAAGGCTGGGAAGAGCACATGTTTGGCCTGAGAGATAGAAGATACTCCTTGACACCATGTCCTTCCATTGTGAACACCCCAATGCTCCCTTCCCCTTCCCTGCACCTGGATGACCAAATCTGTGATGAGGACTCTGCAATGGAGGTGGAGGAGAATCCCAACAACAATGAAAATGAGGATGACCAGCCTTCCAGTAATGAGAACAAGGATGATCAGCCATCTGGTAGCAAGAAAGAGGATGACTGGCTGCCCAGTAGCAATGATGATGACAAGGGTTCTGATTACAATGAGAATGAGAATGATGATGAGGAGACAGAGAGCTTGGGTGACTCCTGTGGTAGGTTTTTCCATTTCATATCCCTTGTTCTCTCACATTTTTTTCAGATAATTCTCATTTCTTTTGATTTTGGGGTTTGGTGCCTCTCTGGTCATGCAATGGTGGGCTTGGTGCCCACTTGTGTTTCAAAGCTTGGTGCTTTGGATACTTGTGACCATTTCCTGCTGCCCATCATTCCCTTGATTGTTATATAGATAAAGAATTGTTGTGATCCTGTTCTGTTACCATCTATATACACACCTGCCTCATGTTGACATGTTGACTCCAAGATGATGATGATGCACACACTTGCAATGCTCAGACTGTTTCTTGTGCCCAGTCCCCACTTCCCCCATTCTCACCACCCATGTATGAGTCTGATGACTCCACCCATCCTGTAGGGGATGTTGTCCATCCTTGCCAAGAAGGTAGCCTGATCTATACTAGACTTCAGAAGAAGGGCAAAGGTAGGGCTATAGATGCCAAGGACATTGATGCTGCAAACCATAGTGACCATGATACCCAACTCCTGAACCTCAAGAAGCCAGGGAATCTGTCCACAGCAGCATTAGATTAAATACATGCTTTTGTGAAGGACATTCAAGATGATGGTGGAAGAACTTGGCCAATGGCATGGGCAGTCTGCATGCAACATACTTGTCACTGTGGGATTTAGTGTTAAGGCTTCTCATACCAAAATTAATGAGGCCAACCTCTTCCACTCATGGTATTGGGCCATGCAGCCCAAACCAGATGGTGGTATGGCTTTCCTCCCTCTCACATCTACTGCTTCTAATGTCCTGACCAGCCAATTGAGATTCAATCAACAATTTGATTATGAAGGAGTACATCACCCTCATGATAGGCATCTCCAAGGATGCCTTTGCAGCAAGGAGGGAAAAGTTAAAAGCCATCTATGAGTGGAGTGAGAGCTCCTCTGCTGTACTGACTAACCAATCTGTCAAATCTATTGCAGCTAGAGCAGACAATGCAAAGACACAATTTTCTGGATTGGTATGTGGTAATGTATGTTGGACAGGACCCTGCAGGATGTCAAACTTCTGGCGTATTTGGAGGCTCCAAGATGATAAGAAACTTCATCAATGAAAATGGCATTGATGTCCAGGTCACTCATGGATAAGTATGCTGCAATTTTCAAGTAAGTTTATTTCTTGCATGTTTCATTTGATCTCATTGGATTGTTGTAAATGTCTCAGGAATGGCAATGGTGCAGATGCCAGGGTGGCTGGCACTGGTTCCATTGGAGATGTGGGTTCTGCACTGGAACTACATTGCCATACAAAGGAGACTCTGAGAGACCACAACTGCAGAGTATTCAGGAAGCATGATGAAGGAGAAGATGTTGGCCATACTGAGAGATCTGCATGGTAAGTTATTCTTGTGCTGTGTGTGCATTTATCTTGATCCTTTGCTCAGTCACATGTGGCATTGAAGTTGGCAATCCCCAGAAAGTTTCCTGGCACTGGCTTCTCGAGTTTTGTGCAGAAGAGCCACCTCACTATTGTCAACTGGCCCCATGGTGTATCTCCACCAGGCCCTGGTTTTGAGTACAAGAAACTTAGGGCTGGCCCTCTTCATCAACTTGTAGTACCTTACCTTTGGAGAAAACTGGGTCTTTTGTATGATGGGCAAACTGATGATGAGGAAGAACAAGATAGTCTGGATGATGTGCTAGAAAAAAGGTATTCCCTATTTTATTCATCCAGTTGGATGCTGACCCTTTGAAGGGTGAGATTGCACTTGTCAAAGCTACCAATGGTACTGTTTTGCAGCAGATCTCAGATGATCCAGAGTGGCAGAAGTCCCTCAGGGAAATGGATTCGCCAGCAGCAAGGCATGGAGGTCCTTTGACAAGCCACAACCCTGAACTGCAGCAACAACTCCTCTTTTCCCTCTCAGGTAAGCAACCCACATGTGGAGGCATCAAATCATGATACTATTGGTCCCCAGGTAAGTTCTGCTCTTTACTTCAATATCCAGTATCTGCTGACATTCACAAGGCTTTACAGTCTGACTGTTGAACTGTGCCACATGATCAATACCAGGATGCATGCCCCATTGCACAAGATTCAGCATCATGACCTATCCACAATTCAAAGCAATGTGCACACTTGAGAGCCTGGCCCATCCGAGCCTCCTGCACTGGCTCTGCAATATGGGGTAGGGTTTGGTTCCTATGGTCTGATAACAAGACTAATGAAGCATCATATAGGATCTACATTGGGATAATCTTCCAAGCCATCCTCACATGCAAGAGGCTGGCCTAGCCCAGCAGTCTGTTCCCAGATGACAAGTGAGTATCCAGGTCTCTGACCTTTGGTAACAAGACTAAGGAAAAATTATGTAGGATTCTCAGGGTGACCATATGAACTATCATGATCCTGGCCCATCTAATATCCCATATCATGTGAGTAATTTGATTTTGCAGAGGTTTCACCATCAACTTGCATTCTCTCTAGCACAATCAATTTCCTCCATCTCACCAAGGATTCCATCACATTCCATCTCGAACCAACCATCCTTACTACAATGGTCCATATACTGATGACTACTACCCTCCAACCCAGTCAGGTGAACCTCATTGGGTTAACAGGGGTAATGCTGCACAATATGAGGACAACTTTGCTGAGGAGTATATAAATGAAGATTACTACTAGTGTAGTTTTTGCTTCCCCTACAACATATTTGTCATGTGCTGCTTGTATATTGATGTCACTGGTGTCAGCAATGATGTTACCATTGGATTTGGGGGACAAGTCTGCAGCTCTCCACTCAGTCCTGTGCCTTTCCTATCGCTTTTCACACCACTCATTCCCCTCGCTGAGACCTCTCTGGGGGGCCTCTTTTGTCTAATTCCATAGAGCTGCTATTGAGATATCACCATTTTCATGTGTGGAGGGCAGTGAGACAGTTTCATGCATAGCTCAGGATCCAATGGTCTGATCATGGTGGCTCCTTTTTTTCTGTGTTTATCTATGAGTACCCAACCACCTTCCTGAGGCCTGTGTCGATCACCCCAGCCATTGTCCTGAGGTCATCACCTGCTTGTTTGCTTGCCTGGAGTTACCCCTATCATCTTGGGGCTGTATCTCGGTGGTTTCTCTGACATGTCTCTCGCTTTTTTGCAAACTCGCACTACTAGATGATGACTCCTTGGAGATGTCTAGATTGTTGTGATTGGTGCAGTAGTTACGGAGATGTTCATGTTTTTGTGGCAAGGCCCACCCCTTGAGGTCCTCTCATCATACCTCATGCATATCTGCACCACTTCTCTCACTTTTTGAGCCACAAATCCCTCTCACTGACCCATTTATGGGGTGCCCTTGTTCACCCACTTCTGCTTGCTCATTGTTGAGATATTCCCACTTTTGTGTTTGAAGGGTTTTGAGGTGGTTTAGTGTATACCTCAGGATCAGGTGATCCAATTGGCATTTTCCCTCTTTCTCCCTGGTTTCCTGGGAGTCCTCTACTGCATCCCATAATTTCATGTCAGTCACCCCAGCCATTACTGTTACATTTCAGTACTGGCCACTTATCAACTCTTTGTTAGGGGCAGTCCAGGGTCAAATCACATATGGTACCAATGTCCATCACATGTCCATTGCTGTTAGGCACTGTACATGATGCCTCAATCTGTATATACAATTCTTGCAGTCCTAGCTACTGTGTTTGTGCATTGTTGCTCCTTGTGTTACAGCTATTTTCAAAGCTGAGAGCAAGGCCAAATAAACAAAATCACACACATGTAGTAGCTAAATGTTATAACTTTGATATCTCAATCAATTCAAGTTGGATCACTGCAATTTTTGCGGATTCAGAATGAGGGAAATTGGGTGTAGGTCCTGGTGTAAAAATTAGACTAGTTCTAGCACTATATAAGTCTGAAAAAGCATAGGCTGATTTCACATATACCATCAAAATTGCAAGTGATCTAGGCATCTGTACACCTTAGCAAACCAATAGTGGTCTCCTATACATCAATTGTCCAGCAGGCATTCAATGCTTTTTGGGCAGTAGAGAGCCCTCTGCTTCCAGATGTTCATTGCACATATAAGTAAGATTGGAAGCCTATTATTGCATATTTCTTCACACAAGGTTCATGTCCTTGGAGCCCTGTGTATCATCTAGAGAACAGTACCAAAAATTTATGCAATTTGTCATGATTGTGCATTCATCCTAGTCCTCACTCACTCTGCACCCCTTTCTGCCAGTCATTCACTCACTCTGCACCAACTCCGCCACCCCCTAACATTTATGAGTCATCTCTGCTCTGACTGCTGTCAGACTTGTACTGCTCTCCTACTGGACTGTTCTCTGAGGGGTCATGTGACTACCTTTGGACTCCTCCCTGACAGCTTGCAGTCAGGTACTCTGCAGTGCATGGTCCAGCACCTGGACTGTTTCCTTTTCTGGATATTCTATGTTACCTGTCCATATGTCCTCCATCTACCCTTCATTTGTCATCTAGGAAGTTTTACTTGAAAATTTCTGGGTCTCTGTATGTCAGTTCTGATTCCAGTTATGGTACCTCCATGGTAGTATAAAAGCATGTATCATACTCTGCTGTTCCTCAGTACAAATATCAACTTAGTTCCTACTCCCTCTGCCTCTGTCCTCTGCCTGTCAGAGTTACCTCTGACTGCCCATCTGTACTCCCCCTCTGAAATATGAGGGCTGAGATCATGCAAGGGGGTAGCACATGGGCTAAACCTGATGCCCTCACTTTGCTCCACCCTTACCTTGGCAGACTTTGTTCTTGCCAAACACTCTGCCAGTCAGAGTTCTGCTCTTTCTGTCAGACTTGCTTCTGAACCTCTCCCCAGACCTCATCCAGCATCAGAGTTGGTCAGAGTAGGCCCAGACTTGACACAATTATGCAGTGTGTTGTTGTGATCTGAAGTTCTACAGCTAGTATTGTCTTATCTACACTTGGTGGCTGCTTACCAATCATGTGCTACCCCCCACCTGTGTCCCCTTGCCTCACATCTCAAGACTTGCTTCAAATGAAATCATAGTAGAAGGACATGAGATTGAGAAATAATACAACACTTGAGACCTGCAGAGTATGATTGCTGGATACAATTTGAATAGCATTCTTTGGGTGCCATGACTATTTCAAGCAATGATATGTATAGGACATTTGGAGCACAGCATTGAGTGAACATGATGATGTCAGCAACTACTCATGCATATGGCTACACCCACTCAAATGCAGTTATTCACTGCACACTGCTCATCTGGTGACTGACTTTTCATCTCTGCACATATTTTTTGGTACTGTTCTCTAGAAATTACACAGGGCTTAAAGGATATGAATCTTGTGTGAAGAATTATGCAATAATGGGCTCACAATCTTGGTTATATGTGAAATGGACATCTGCAAGGCAGACCTGTGTCTTATTGCCCTGACTCTGAATCTCCAAAAATCATGGTGATCTGACTTGAACTGATTGGTGCCATTGATTGAGCCTGTTACAATGTGACAATATGTATCCCAATTGTGGGCAGAGGGCAATGTGGATGTCAGATACAGGGTAGGATGTCCAACACTTGCCTCTGTGGCATTTGTATAACATCTCACTGGTGTCCAGAGGGGGAGATGGGATGTCCCAACATAGCCTGAAAGGCTGTTGTGAGACATCCCACTGGTTTCTGGAAAGGGGGTTGGGATGTCCCAACATAGCCTGAAAGGCTGTTGTGGGACATCGCACTGGTTTATGGAAGGGGAATGGGATGTCCCAACATAGCCTGAGAGGCTGTTGTGGGACATCCCACTGGCTGCTGGAGGGGGGGGGTGGGATGTCCCAATGTAGCCTTATGATGGAAATGTGACCAGAGCTGGGATTGAAGCAACCTCTTAGGTGTTAACCAGGTGCTCTGACTGCTCAGCTGTGTATATTGTCTAGGTGATAGCATCAGTAGCATGGGGCATGGACCAGTGATGTGGGAACAAAACTATGTGGAGTGCAATGCACAGAATACACCATTTCCAACATGGTCCTTCAATCTGGAAATTTTTGGAGTGCAACAAGGGTGCATGCCTCCTATGATCATGCAAATGGTCTGATAGCATTTTGGGCTTGTGTTATGTGGAGAGTGGTGTGGGACATCTGGCCAGGCAGGGGGGTGGGACATCCCAACTTAGCCTCAGAGGCAGCTGGGGGACATCCCACTGCTGGCCAGATGGTGGGGAGGGATGTCCCAATGTAGGTGTAGGGGCTGTTGTGGGACATCCCACTGGTTGGCAAAGGGGAGGGTGGGATGCCCCAATGTAGCCTCAGAGGCTGTTGTGGGACATCCCACTGCTTGCCAGAGGGGGGGAGAGATGTCCCAATGTAGCCTTAGAGGCAATTGTGGGACATCCCACTACTTGCCAGAGGAGGAGAGGGATGTCCCAATGTAGCTTTAGAGGCTGTTGTGGGACATCCCACTGCTTGCAAGAAGGGGGGAGGGATGTCCCAAAGTAGCCTTATGAGGAAAATGTGACCAGTCCTAAGATGAACCAGTGACCTCCTAGGTGTTTACCAGGTGCTGCAACCACTGAGCCATATGGTCTGGGTACTAGTGGCAGTAGCTTGGGGGCTTAGACTAGCACTGTGGGAACATATCTCCATGAAGTTAATGCACAGAATGCACCATCTCCAATGTGGTCCCTTTATCTGGCCACTTTTGGAGTGTAAAAACAGTGTACACCCCCTAGGGTCATGCAAATGGTCTCATTGCCTTTTGACCTGGTGTCATGTGATGGATCAGGATTTACTGCTGTGTTTCCAGGAGGCCTTACTATCAGCCACCTTGTGTCCATGTAACTCACATGATCTGGACTTACCAAGGATGCTGCATGACCCATTGTACTGAGCATACATGGGTTCCAGCTGCAGCTCATAACCTGATGAAAATGTGACCAGAGCTGGCATTGAGCCAGGACCCTCTCAGTGTCAAGCAGCTGCTCTGACCATGGAAGCTACCTTGCATTGGATTCTCTATGGTGCTTGTAGGATCAGTGCAGATTACTACTTCAACACCTTAGAGGCTGTGTTGGGACATCCCTCTGGTTGCCAGAGGGGAGGGTGGGATGTCCCAATATAGCCTTAGAGGCTGTTGTGGGACATCCCACTGCTTGGCAGAGGGAACAGTGGGATGTCCCAATGTAGCCTTAGAGGCTGTTGTGGGACATCCCACTGGTTGGCAAAGGGGAGGGTGGGATGTCCCAAGGCAGCCTTGGAGGCTGCTGTGGGACATCCCAAGTCCCCTTATGAACGTCAGTGAGATGTCCCATCCCAGCCTCAGTGGGCTATGATGGCACATCCTCCTAAGTTACCTTTGCAGACCAGCACAATGCCCCATGACAACCTCAGAGGCTCATCTGGGACATTCTGCCCTCTGCAGATGGTGTTGCAAAGGTGACCAACCCCATGTTCTATGTGGGGGACTTTGAGATATTGGCCTGTCACACAAGTGTTCAAAAACCATTCACTTCTTCCTTCATACAGTACAAATTGCATGAGGTATAGACACAAATTGATTGAATTTATTATTGCAATTTTCAAGGCAAATGTGGAGGCCCAGGTGGGTCACCTCCCTGGCAACTAGTGAGATGTCCCAATACAGCAGAATCACATTGCAAGGATGTACATGAAAAGTACTATTGTATACTACTATGCATGGTGGGATGGGAGGGGATGTATAGGTCAAAGGACACTTTGTGGATTAAATCTGTCAGAGTAGCAAGGGGGCTAGGATTTCTGCAGCTATTTCAATGCTAATATTAAGCTGCACTTTCAGGAGTAGGGACCCCAGTCACCCAAGGCAGTCTTGGGACATCCCAAGTAATTGCATTTGAATGGATGGCTATGTGGGAAATCCAATCTGTCCCAGGGCCTATAAATCTGCATAGCCCTGGGACATGACCAGATGTCCCTGGGCAGACCTTAGGTCTGGGAGGCTATTAGGCTGGATAGTTTGGAGAAACTATTCAGCCTAAATGCTTATGAGAAATGGTTACCTTAAGTGAGGAGGTGAAGGTAGAATTGAGGCTGGCACCTACTGTTTTCCAGTAGACTGGTGACAACCATATATAGTGCACAGTGCAAGAATCACCAGTGAATTACCAGCCCCATAGCTACCATGTACTGTAACCCACTGTCATAATCCAATTGTGGCCAATTTGTGCACTTCTTCAATTCCATTCAACACAATGTTCATTGAAATGAGTTAAATATACAAATTAAAGCTGGTCTGGTTTAAGATGGTAGCCTACACCTGCCAGCTCTTCCTCCAGAAGATCTGCTAACTGTTGCCAGAATCTGGTAAGCATGGCATGCCACTCAACATGTGATTGCCACTCCCCAGTTGCATCCACCAGGGTATTGGCATAATACCTATATGCAGTGATCAGATTGGCATCATGTGCAGCATTGATGTCTGGCTGACACACCCCACTCCTAGCCATGATACTGGAGATCTGCCTTGACATTTGAACTGGTAGACATGTTTAGCTATGGTTGTGTAGGAACTTCTGGACTTACACTCAGTTTGTGGAGTATCAACTCCCAGCTGTATGGTGAACTCCTGGGAGACTGCTAAAAGCTCCAAATGTGACAATGGGATTGGCACTGGTGATGGGGATCTAGCCAATGGTATCAATGTGGAGCTGAATGATGCAGGAGTGTCTGAGAGGTCCATAGGTTGACAAGGACCAGGGAAATTGCCACAAGGCAATGTGAATGTTGTTGGGCTGGGAACTGGGATAGGATTGCAACAGGCTGGTGACACAGAGGGAGTTAAGGACTGAAATTGGGACTCATGCAATAGGATGAATGGTCATGATGATTGGCCAGCTGCTTGAGTTGGGTAGATGTAAGCTGATGATCTTGTGGCAGCAGGTGACTGAAATGCTGGTTCTTGTAAAGGACTGACTGGTGGGGACTGGAATGGTGGGGGTGACCCCCAAGGTGGCTCATGCAATGGCATACCTGGGGCAACAGGTGGTGGTGATTTGTCCCATGCCAGCTCAAGTAATGGGGTGCTGTCAGAGAGGCATGTTGATATGGAGTCCCAAGGAGGCTCAACCAATGGGCTGCTAGAGGAGGGAGACAGTGCCAATGACCCCCATGCTGGCTCTATCAAAGGTAATCTGGGCAAACCAAAGGACTGGAAGGAGGGTTCCATTCTGGTTGTGCATATTGTTTGAGCTGGGGACAGCTTGGAAGGTGGCTCACATAACAGGGATGATGGTACATCCAGCAGGTCATCTTCAGTAAACATTTCCTCATCCTCATCAAGAGATGTGAGCTGCTGCATATCATGGCATGATGGGATCACTGCACACAGTCATTAGAAGTAATGGTCCTTGGACTGATTGACTTACAGCATTTATCTGGTCTGCTGGAACTGAATCTAACATTTCTGGGAGCCATATGAAAGTTCAAAACATTGTAGGCACTGTGGGGATTACACCGATGTTTGGGAATGATTTCAATACCAGTGATAAGATTGTATTACACAATATTTTTTCACCAGTCATCATGCAGGATGTGCAAGTGCATACATAATGGAAATGGGCACTTAGATCAACAACCCTCCTGAGTCCTGGAAGGTAGTGCCAGAAGCTGAGCAGTGTGTGAGATGCTAGGACAGGAGTTGTCCCTGTGTGGTGCTAGCTGGCAGGGCATGCTGGCAATGCCACTGTACCAAATACTCATGCAGCTTGTTCAAGAGAAGGGGAGACAAGTCCAAGATGCAATGAAAAGCCTCCCATTCAAGGCCTTGCCAGGAATGATCCCCAGAAGACATGGCCAGCCTTCCCACCACTTCAACACTGGCTGCACCAGCTCCATTGACCAGTCAATGAGCCAAATGTCAAAGGGCACCAAGCCAAAATCAATCTGCTGGTCCATCCAAAGTAACAAGCCATCATTCATCTCCTGGCCCATGGACTGGCCACCCCAGTAAGTTATTCACAGTCCTATGTTTTTTGCTAATCAGTTGAACTAATATTTCTATTGAGTGGTGGAAATTATTACTCTGTCATGGCTATCCTGGTCACAGTCTCATGCAAGAAGCATTGCAACAGACCCACCCATCACTCCAGTGCCAACTACTACAACCAGTGCCAATGATCCATGCCATTGTGATGAGTATTGGGAAGAGGTTACCATCCTCAAGTGGGAGAATGCTGACATGAGGCAGGAGATAGAAGTAACCTGTACTGAGCTTGCTGCTCTCCATTGGGTGGTAGATGCTATCTGTAATCACCTATTCCCAGCCCCAGATGTGCTTAACCATCCTCTGGTCCCATTTCATGCTACTTCCAACCCTACACTGGTACCTTACATGCCAGTCATGGTGGAACTTGGCACTGCAACTGGTGTTGTAGAGGTTCAATCATCCTGAAGCAGCTCAAGACAGGAGTCCACTGAACCCCCCCTGGCTTCATTCAAGGGAGGTGCCAGCTCGGAAGTACCTCCTTCAAATGTTGAAGCTGTGCATGGACCTGCTGGAGGTCTGGCAATCTCTATTACTCCACCACCACCAGCAGTCAGATCAGTGCCCAGACAGGAAGGTAGGATGGAGGTCGACTAACATCAATGTACTTGTCATTTCACAATCCATTTGTGTTTTTTTGTCTTTGTACTTGTACTTTGTTAGATGCAGCAATATATTCTATATTGTAACAATGTGATCTCCATGGAAGAAGTAGCTACTGCTACTGGTAGTTGTTACTGTATGATTCAGATACTGGAAAACCAATCTGGTATGGTGATGTCTGCACCAAGGCCATGGTGTTACAAGTGCTAAGGGCCAATGGAGTCATGGTTCACCTAGATGATTGAATGATGACTGGCCAGCATAACTCAATTGTTTTTGCTGTAAAGCATGATGGTGACTTTCATGGTATTGTTCTGGCTTGCTGGAGGCTGTAAGGCATTGAATTCGCAGTTTAAATGTACTGGGTAGTTGACTAGTCTTCTGGTCATTACCAGAGCCACCATTGTGGTAATACATGCATCTCTGGCATGGTACCTGGTACCAGTACATACATGCACTGTGGACCTGCTCCCAGGAGGTCAGGCAGGTCAGGCATGGCATGGTATAATTTCTGGGCAGGCCTCCATGGCATTGGCATTGGATGGTGTTCATGGCATTGGTGCCAGGACAGCTTGACTGATGGCCTCATGGCATTGGGGATGTGCTGGAACTCATTACAATGGTGCTGTGACAGCCTGCATGATGGCCTCATGGCATTGGGGATGTGCCAGAACATATGGCATAGGTGCTGGGACTGCTTCCATGGCATTGGTGTTGTGCTGGAACACATTACAATGGTACTGGGATGGCTTGCATGATGGACTCATGGCATTGGGGATATGCTGGAATACATGGAACTGGTGCTGGGGTGGCTTCAATGGCATTGGTGTTGTGCCAGAACACATTACAATGGCATAGGTGCTGGAATGGCTTCCACAGCATTGGTGTTGTGCCAGAACACATCACAATGGTGCCAGAATGGCTGCCATGGCATTGGTGTTGTGCCAGAACACATTACAATGGTGCTGGAATGGCCTGCATGATGGCCTCATGGCATTGGGGATGTGCCAGCACTCATTACACAGGTGCTGGGATGGCCTGCATGATGGACCTGTGGCATTGGGGATATGCCAGAATACATGGAACTGGTGCTGGGCCAGCCTCCATGGCATTGGTCCAGTGCTGGTACACATTACAATGGTGCCAGAATGGCCTGCACAATAGGCCTCATGGTATTGGGGATGTGCTGGAATACATGGCATAGGTTCCATGACAGCTTCCATGGCATTGGTGTTGTGCTGGAACACATTCCAATGGTGCTGGGATGGCCTGCATGATGGCCCCATGGCATTGGGGATGTGCTGGAACACATGGGCCTGGTGCTGGTTCCAGGACATTTTCCATGATGGCCCCATGGCAGTGGTGATGTGCCAGAGCATGTGGCACTGGTGCCAGCATGGCTTCCATGGCATTAGCATTGTGCTGGTTCACATTAAATCAGTGCTGGCCAGGACAGCTTCCATGGCATTAGTCCTGGGTTGGTGTTGGCCTGGCTCACATTGCATTGGTGCTGGGATGCCTTGAATGGCATTGGTATTGGGTCTGCCCACATGGAATCAATGCCAGGACAGCCAGCATGGCATTGGTGTTGTGCTTGCCTGCATGGCATTGGTATTGGGCCTGTTCATATTGCATTGGTGTTGGCCCAGCTCACATGGCATTCATCCCAGGATGGCCTGCATGGCATTGGTGGTGGGCTGGCCCACATGGCAGTGTTGCCAGGATGGCTAGCATGGCATTGGTGTTGGGCTGGCTTGCATGACAGTGTTGCCAGGGGTGAACTCAGGGGCTGAGCCCATCCATACCTTCTGGGGACACCCAACTCTGGGCTTACCTGGGACTACTCATATTGCAGTGGCTACACCCTAATCCCACAGCTGGCTTGTACCCCATGATGACAATTCTAACCTCTGCCCAGCCATTCTCCATAATGATTCCTACTCTTGGGCTCAGCTGTATGCTATGATGACACTGCATTTATTGGGCTCTCCCATAGTCCATGATGACACTTACTCCCCAGCCTGCTTGTAACTGACAATGACAATTCAAACCACAGCTGCACCATTCCTCATGACAACATTTCCTCTCAGGCTCAGCTGTACTACATGGTGACACTCATCAGTTGGGCTCTCCCATACTACAAGGTGACAATAGGTTCATGGCTCTCATGTAACACACATGCACAAGCCATACATGGGCTCAACCTCCACTGGCCTGTCACTGACAGCCAATTGTCAGCCTCTGCTGACCATCTCATATGGCCTAACCAGGTGCATGGGCTCATGTACTGGCTAATCTATTTAGGCAGGCCTGTCTCAGGGTTTATATAAGTGTTGGTGTTTTGGCACACAGGCTGCCCATGTGTTGTGACTAAATGTGACTACACTATGTGTGAAATTGCACACCCCACACAATGTATGGTATCCAATGGCTAGTAGTACTGAGTGTCCCTTGGTGATGGGATATACATACATGTAACATATTATATTCATTGCTCATTAAAACCCAAAAATGCGAAAATTGATACACTAGGACCTGTCATTCAATGGATACATGTGACTACTCAAGGTGTAGGAGACTGACACCAAGTCTGAAGTTCTGAGTTGTATTACACTCAAGTGGGTCTAATATAGTCCAAGGAGGTCCTAACATATGAACAAAATATCAGTACTACAATCCATTGGATACCATACATTGTGTGGGGTGTGCAATTTCATGTTTTTGATATGTTTTGAAAGTCTCCTCAATTTTTTGCACCTTTTCTCACACTCTCTGGAGGATTGTTTCAGTTCCCCAGTGCTCTCCCCTGAAGGGATGAGCTTGGGAATGTTGTGGTGACTGCCAATCAGTAGTACAGTGCTGCCTAGATAGTCAGAATAGCAGTAAACAGCCTAGAACATGATGAAACCCCTGAATGCCAGCAGGAAGAGATCATGGCACAACACCTCAAGGTGTCTGCCCCACATAATGAGCTGTTGATATGTTGTAGGTACAGAACCATGCTCAAAGCTAGTTCATTTTTCAAGTGCCCATGTTAAATATATCAAAAATGTGAACACCATAAATAGATAGATATAACCAATATATCAAAAAGTGATTGCTTTTTCTGGTTTTGCCCCAATCAGACATAGCAATTATTTAGGCCCATTAGGATGGGCAGAAAAGCATTCATTTATGGTCTAATGGACTTATAGTACATGTAACTATCTTATACAATGCCTACAGGGAAGGGACAGAGCCCAAAAAGAAAGGGGAGGCTGGGGACAATGAGGGCAAAGTGTGGGAATGTTGGATATCAGGCACATGCCAAATGAGGACATGTTTCTGGGAGTAGTGGCTGCGCTTTTTTATGCTTATGTAATTACATCAAATTTGGAGGAGTGATGAAAATAAACTATGGGGATTTGTGGGGAGAAACTCCAAAGGGCAGGAGGGGGGGTGGGCAGATCTGATCTGGGTCACAGAAGTCAGCTCCAATTCATGAGCCCATCCATATGTTGTGATGCTATACATATTACTGATGGGCCTGTCCATATGTTGTGACTCATTCAATGAGACTAGTGACAGGCCCATCTTTATGTTTTGACAGAGTACATCTTACTATGGCCAGGCCTGCCCATATGTTGTGACAATATAAATAATACTACTGAAGGGCCAGACCTTATGTTGTGACTCTATTAAATGATATTAGTGACAGGCCCATGTTTATGTTTCAACAGCAGTACATCTTACTATTGACAGGCCCATCCATGTGTTGTGACATTATGAAGCAACATTACTGATGGGCCCATCTTTATGTTGTGACAGGGGTATGGCTTATTATGAATGGGCCCATTTATATGTTGTGACACCATAAATGATATTCCTCCCAGGCCCATCCTTATGTTGTGACCCTCTCCATGTTATGATAGGCAGGCCTGCCTTGATGTTGTGACAGGGGTGTTACCTACCAGGATGGGCCATCCATGTCTTACAGCAGCTCAGTATTCTTAATTGGTCACAGGCCTGTCTAAATGTTTCAACATCCTTACCCACCATGGGCCCTCCCATATGTTGTGGTAATGCACTTATGGGCCTGTACATATGTTGCTCTCACTTTAGTCCCTTGGGCCTGTCCATGTGTACTGGCTAATCTATTTAGGTGGGCCCATCTTGGGGTCTATATAAGTGTTGGTGTTTTGGCACACAGGCTGCCCATGTGTTGTGACTAAGTGTGACTACACTATGTGATGTATCTATCAGATGCACTTACTTTGTGGGATTGCAAGGAAAGTGATGAGAGCAACACTATTGCAATGAGCATGACAAACTTTGTTGCTTATATTACCTATCAAAAGGCAGAGGGGATAGTAGTCATTTTGACTGGTTGTGACTGACACAGTCATCTTGTCACTGCTAAGGATGATTGGAATGAAGGTAGACCTGTGCATGGTTGAATCACAAGAAATTATAACCTGTTATTTGCATGCCATTAGTACAGCACTCAGAGACATAGAAGAGAACTGATGCACCACTTGTGTCCACACCCAATCACCAGACATGAAATCTTCCCATTGTCTCTTGTCTGTTGCACTCTCATATTCCTGAAATGGCCAGTAATCCATGTCACCCAAAAAATCAGGTTGGGAAAGCATATTGCAAATAATGTCATAAGAGTCCTGGAACCAAATATCATACACAGTGTTCATCCATGATGGCACATTATCAGCTGGTTGTTCACCAGTATAGGATATGCAAAAATTCTCCCACTGTTCATCACTGAGTATAGTGTGATTGATCATCTTGTACATTTCAGTGCTATCCTTGAAGATCAGCCAGCTGCCAGCACTGAGCAGCATCACATTCCAGAGATCTAGCAACTTGTTTATATTGGCAGCAGACATTTGGCTGCAGGTGAACAGAAAGTCAGCTAGCTTGAACTCCAAACAACTGGAATATGGTGACCAATCATTAGGTTGCTTTTCAGAAGGAGTTTCTGGGGATGGCTGTCCAACTGGGTAGGGGTTTCCAGATGAATCACAAGGCTGCCCTGTTGAATAATACATCAGTAAATATTTAATTTTTTCACCCATACTGCATACCAGTGAGGTTTGGGTGATAGTTCTGATAATACTTGTCACCTGGTCCAACAAATTCTGCCAGAAGGGTTGGATTCAAAGGGTTTGTGGATGGGTCACTATAGTCATTGTCCAGTTGGAACTGGAATTGTTCCACTTCAGGTGATGGCGCCTGATCTGGCTGTTCTACTGGTGTGGGGATGTTAATAGGTGGAAAGACTGGGTGGTATATGTTGATATGCTGCATTAGGCCCAACTTATTTCTGAACCATTGATGGCAGCCAGGCTTTGTGCAGGGAATCATATCCAAAAGAAAAATGATGAGTAACAGGAGTTACTGTAGGACAGCAAAGATTTGCTGACTGAACATAGAATTGAACTAAGCCAGAAGAGACAGCAGTGGGCATACCTTTTTTTCTGCCTTGTTGTCTTCCACCTTCATGCACAGCCAACAACCCTTTGCACTGTGAGATATGGACAACCAACTGGCTGCAGAGTGCCCACAGGAGACACTTGCAAGTGGTTGCCCAAAGCACCAGGTGGCTAACATGCATCCTGGTAGGATTGTCCTTGACAGCCAACCAAGCAGACAAGCACAGAGAAGGAAGCCAACAATGAATGCACCCAGGAAGCCCTCACCAAAAAGGTTGCAGCACTGAAGAGAGGTTATCAATGGATCAGTGAAATCAAGGATAAAATGGAGGTCAACCAAGGTGGTGTCACCACCAGTGCTAAGCCCATCAAGCTGTGTCCACATCCTTGTCCTTGTCCTCATGCTGATGGCAGGCAAAGAAATGATAGTGATGGTGGTATCTATCATACTTAACCAAGAAAACATGAGGCTGATTTTTTTTGTAGGGACAAGTGAACCACTTACCCCCCTATCTGACATGGAAGACAATGCTGAACCTGTAGTGATGAAGGGGAAAGGGACAAAAGCAGTAAAGGCAAAATTGTTGCATGAAGTGATAATCTCCACTCGCAACAAAGCATCCCCACCATCAGCATGTGACAATAGCATTGGTGTCATTACTGGTTTGATGTGCATCTTACTTCTTAACATGTTCCTCCTAACTGAGGTGACACTTTTCTTTGCAAATGTTCTAACGACTGCCAGCTCTGACAATAAACTGACTTTATCTAAGCATATCAAAAATTCAGTGAACATCATCAACACAAGTTCTACATAATCTTTGAGTGCCAGTGCCAGTCCTCATACATCAGCTGCACCACCTCCATCCACAAGTACCCTCACTACAAGTACTACTGACATTGAGTTCTGCATATTCAATCTTGGCTCTCCACTGCCAAATGACCCCCAATACAACTACAAGTTCAAATCCCAACTACCAGAAAACTTCAACTTGCCACCCAAATGCAAAGATGGCGAAGCTAGTGGGCCAGTGAGACCCCTGGTTTTGGACATCCCTGCTCTTCAAAATGTTCTCATTGAGTATCTTTCACACTGAAGCAGTTTTTACTCATGCAATGATAGTCTCAGTGCACTGCTGCAATGACCAAGGATACTGCCACCAGACTCACCAACATCAAGAGGAAAGTAGCTGAGTTGGAATATGTCTCAACCTCTGAGGTTGAGGGTGATGGTGTCAATGATAACTGTGGCAATCTAGACAATGCCATCTGTGTTTTGGGGTGCAAGAATGCCATGGCCTAGGTATGTGCTAACTACCTTTCCCCAAGTTCCTTCATCTTTGATTTTCTTTCAGTCATGCATTATGGTTACAAAGGGCATGCCAAAGAAGATCAAGATACAAGCTTGCATCTCTATGTCCAGCTTATTGGCCACATGTACTAGCAAGAGATCTATCATAGCAAGTGATTCATTGAGTCAAGTGCAGACCATCCCTGCACAAGTGTGTTTCAACAATTCAGATCTGCATAAAGATCAGAAGTGGAAGAGGGAAGTTATTCTGATGCTAATCCTATGGGCCAGAAACCAAGAGGATGCATTCAACATTGCCAAGCAAGACATTTGTGGGGCTCTACAGGAGATTATGCCAGTCATATACCCCATACTCAAGAACACAGCAAGTAGCATTCTTCCCAGCTCACCCATGGTTTCTGTCATGGGTCCATTTCATTCTGACTTCATCTGTAGCTGACTGTGTTCACCATAGGTGTCTCAACACTTGTGTGATTGGAGGCACAGCTTTGCCTCCATAGCCATTGTGCAACTCGTAGCTTTCTTCCTCAATCCTCAAGACCCATCACTCATTGACACTGCAAAACTATTACTCAATCATTTCACATTCTTATATGAAGACCTCAACACAATTGTTCCCAAGAAGGCCTTCCACTCCATTTTTGTGCAACAGCTGCTGCTGCGCAGCCATTTGACCACAACCAAAGGATATGTTCAAGTCCCCACTGTGAGTCAAAGTGAGGTTCAGTGGTGAAAACCAACCAAAACCAACACAAAAGACAATGAAAGCGAGTGGTGGTGTGCCTATGCGGTACCTAGATGGTAGAACCTGTTCTTTGGGAGGTTTTTTGCGAGCTACAACACTCAAAGATGAGTGCTGAGGGTTGGGGGTGCTCCTGACGAAGAGGGAGCAAGAATGCGATAGAAAGCAATAGGGTAGACTGCTGTCAGCCTACAGAAGGATGGATGGTGACTTAATTCAATGTCCTAAGCTGTACTGAGCTCAGGGAGGGCTTGGAGCGAAGTATATGGATGATAGATGATGATAAGTGAAGTAGATGATAGCTAGACCCTTAATAAAGTCTCAACTATCGAAGCTGATGAATGATTTACTGAGAGATGATAAATTGGGAGCAAGAGGGGCTCTCTGATGTCTTTTTTTTTTTTTTTTTTTGCTACCTAAGTACAGTGACTTATATACAGTACAGGGGCATTGCCTATGGAAAACAAGGTGTAAACACTTGGTAAGTGATTGGTAACTGATGAGTAAGGAATGTAAGCAATGGGTAATCATCTTGGAAAGCATTGGTAAGCATTGGTAAGGATAAGTAAGCCAAAAAGTGAAGAATCAGTAAGCAAAGTCAAAAGATTGGTAAGTATTGGCAATAGGTAAGTCAAAGACAGTCAGAATGTCACAGTATGAGTCAAGTAATGTCAGGAACTGGGAAAGTGCACTGGAATCACATTAGGGGGAGGCTGTGCATGTCACATCTTGAAGAGATCACTTCTAGGCCAAAGTGGGATGACAGAGAGGCAGCACTGACCTGATGCCGATATAGTACATCCAAAAGTGGACAGGGTGAGTCAGATGTCAACAGGTGTCAAGCTTTGGGGGTCTGTGGGGTGACAGGAGCATAGGGGATTGCAACTTTCCCCCCCAAACCATCCTCTCAGTGAAGCAAATAAAAACTTCATGAATGAGGCTCTGTTGGAAGAGAGGATGAAGGGGGAGTGTCTTCTGCTGTATCTTGCAACAAGGAGGCAAGATGTGCATCATACTCATCATGGATGCGATCAGGGAGAGTGGAGAACAGTAGATTATACTGTAGCTGTCACAATTTTGGAAGAATGATGGATGAGACTGGTATGAAGATGTTGCAGGGGGCAGGGAGGAAGGATCCATATGCTTCTTGGACTGGAGAGACTGAAATGACCACATAAGACCTTTCCAAGCAAATGACAGACCTGAGGCGACCAAAGAATGTCCTCCTGGAGGTCATACTGACAAAAAGAACATGCTGTCCAAGCTGGATGGGCTGAGAGGGGGCAGATGAGGGTGGGATGTACCAGGATGCTTCAGGATGGAAGCTGGTAGGAACTCCTGGTAGATATATGTAGCCATGGTCCCTAGCAAAGGGGACAAGCAAAATGACTGATGTGGAGGCAGCCATATCAGAAGAATTAGCGAAATGAGCGTCTTTTGGAGGGAGTGCTGTAGAAACGTGTGGAGTGCGCAAATCCTTTCCAATCTTGGAAGGTAGGATCACGTGGCTGAGCACTACAAGCGAGTGTGGGAATGGTTTCAGTGTCTGCAGAACTGGTGGAGATATGTCAAAAACTGGAATGCCGTACACGGGCACTTAACTCGCCTCCTCCTTTTTCTTTGGCACTGACAACCTGTTCTTGTGCAAGGGATGACTGCTGACATTGCTGGCTGTCCTTCTTTGCATGAGGACTATGGTCTTCACCTCTATTCATCAGCTACATCCATGTCCACCTCACCAAACACCTTTGGTGTGTGACACTGCTCTTAACACTTCATCTTTGGCAAAGCATGGTGTTGTTGGTGCTCTTGGACTTTGTGCTGCTGTGGTAACATTTATCAAGTCATTAACATAGCTACAGTATCAATTAGTTTTCTAGCTCTCATGTGGCTTGAACCTCATTAGATCTGGTAATGTCAAGCTCAAGTCCCCTGTCAATGTCAAAGATGGTATTGCCAAAGTGGCAATGAGGTTTGTGCAGACCCTCATCAAATATCACATGGCTTTAGGCCAGGATAGCAAGACTGCATGTGCATTTTCAGACCAGAATTGGGGAGCCCAAACAAGGAAGTTTACAGGGACTGCCAAAAGAAGATCTATTGCTCAGCTTCAAGCCATTGTAGAGCTTGCCCTTGCTTTGCTTGCAATAGGGCAAGAACTCAACCCTGAGCTGTTGAGTGATGCAGGATCTGATGATGAGTATGCACTTATTTGTAGGTTTTCATTCCCTACTGGTTATATGATTGACTGAGTCCACAACAGGATTTCTAATATGTCTTCCCACTTGCAATCACTAGTCCATCTATGTTTTTCAATCCCTCCATTTTACTGCTGTATAATTTACTCCACTGCTACTTAGCATGTGCTTAGCAGATATCAAATGCACCTTGTTGCTACTTATCTGCTTGGCAGAACAGAACCAACATTATTTCAAGTAAGAAACTAATAAGCTAAGCATGCATTAAGTAAAAATAAGCAGTGCTAAGTAAGTATCCAGCAGAAGGATCTACTTATCCAAGCAGGCAGCTGCTTGGCAGTTGGTATGATAAGCAAGTGTTAAGTAGCTGTCAAGTAAGGATAAGTAAACTCATCACCTTGTTTACAAGGTCACTCCAGCCCAAAATCAGTAACATTTTTTTGGTCTGCCATGATTATCATATTTTGGGCCTCAGCATGGTACTCTGCTGCTCTGCCAATCCGAAGTATCACCATGGGCAACCTTGCGACACACACCCCTCATCTTGCAGCATGAATGATGCCTGAGCCTCTTTCTGACTTCAATCTTTGAGGCAATGTGTTGACAGTGGGCAAAGCCATGCCCTGTTCAGGGCTCTCACATTTCCATGTCTTATTGCAGGTCACATTGTCAGCCCCCCCCATGCATGATGAGAGGGGCCCCCCCTCTGCAAGTCAGTATGTATTTGTTCCTCTCCACAGCCCACCTTGTTGCAAAATTCCTCCCACCATGAATAGTATTTCCCATGCAAGCCTGCCATTTCACATCTGGGCATTTGTCATTGGATCGTGCTCTGGCCCTCTTGCCATTAGTGTTCATGCGTGCACCTGGTGCCATGTGGAAATCATTGACATGCATAACCTCTTTCCCCCTGATTCTATGATTGACTTGACACATGTCCATGTAGAGGATGACATCTACATCATCTACTTTGATTGGCTGCGCCATGTGGAGGACCATGACAATGCCATGTACATATATGTCTGTGGCAGATAACGACCGTCCCCTCAGTATTTGTCCTGAGGATGAGATTGCAAATTTGTTGGAGTTGTTGGACATGTAAGCATCCCTCTTCAGGTTTGGACACATAGGCTCATGTTCAATGTAGCATGGACCAGTGATATCTGGCTGTCATGGCATCAGAGACTCTGTAGTTGTGGGTAAGGTGCAAAGACAGTATGGCAACTTTGGCCATGGTTGATGCCATCAATGGCATCAAGATGCTTGGGGGGCCAAGGATAACTGGGAGTATGGAATTTTACTGGTGTATTATGTTCACCCTTGCCTTTTGAATCAACTATGTTGTGTGTGGAGATTGGCTGTTGAACCATACACCCTAAGGCTCTCTGTGCAGCATGTATTCCTCTGATGGCAGTATGACAAACCTGGTGTGCACATTGGGCCTCCACTGGCACAACATTTGGCCTGCCATGACTGCCATGCATATGACTGCTGTCACAATGTGAGCCCCCCATTGATGGGCAATATAATGGTTATCGGTGGCATACTTTTCATGCCATTCTGACCCCTAAAGTGAGCATGTGTTCAGCCCCTCTATGCTCCTATGCTGATCTCCTATTAGGTTGGGATACAAAAGCATGCATTGCATGTGAGGGGCGAGCGTATTCAATGTCTACTGCCATCAACTTCATGGCCCCCCAGTGGGGCACAACACCTTCATATCTGGATATTGTCAATGAGGTTATTGGGCACTGTGATCTTCTTGGCATGTTCAACCTTGTGTCCACTTGTCGAGCTCATCTGGAGGTGGCACAGCAACATCTCAAGACTCACATCCAAAACATGGGGAGGGGTTTTTTTGCCAACCCAATTGTCCTGCATGACATCTTATGCACCTGTGATGGTGTTGTTTTGGGATCTACAGCCTTGCATCTTTTATTGCTGGCCAGCCATACATATTCTACCTCGTGGCTTCCTACCAACCTAGACATCTATGTTCCCTTTTGGTTGGAGAACCTCATAGCCTGTCTTTTGGTTGGTCAGGGATATTGTCTGCACAAGCCTGCTTCTGTTGATGTGGCTGTGTATGCAGGGACCTCCATCCATTCAGTATGTGCTTTCTCAAAGGGTCACTACAAGATTGATGTCATCATCTCAGCAAATGCTGCCTCCATCGCACCTGTTTTCCAGTTTCACACCACTGCTGTCATGAACTGTGTCTCTGCAGATCACATATTCTGTGCTTATCCTGCTCTTACAATGTGGGCACACTCTCATGTCAATCCCATGCTCCTCTATAATGGTGGACTGCACTGCAAGGCCACTGCCCCACTGTGGAAATACATGTCACATGGTTTCACATTCAAACCATGTGTCAAGTCTCATAGGTTCAGGTATGCATGTCACAACAAGACTCACACTGTGACAGATGGAGGCTGTATGTGGGTCGATCTAGAGATGTTTCCACATGTCACTGTGACACAGCAGGGAGCAGGGAGGAAGGATCCATATGCTTCTTGGACCAGAGAGACTGAAATGACCACATAAGACCTTTCCAAGTGAATGACAGACCTGGGGCAACCAAAGAACATCCTCCTAGAGGTCATACTGACAAAAAGAACATGCTGTCCAAGCTGGATGGGTTGAGAGGGCACAGACAAGGGTGGGATGTACCAGGATGCTTCAGGATGGAAGCTGGTAGGAACTCCTGGTAGATATATGTAGCCATGGTCCCTAGCAAAGGGGACAAGCAAAATGATTGATGTAGAGGCAGCCATATCAGAAGAATTTAGCAAAATGAGCATCTTTTGGAGGGAGTGCTGTAGAAATGTGTGGAGTGTGCAAATCCTTTCCAATTTTGGAAGGTAAGATCATGTGGCTGAGCACTACAAGCAAGTGTGGGAATGGTCTTGGTATCTGCAGAAATGGCAGAGATATGTCAAAAACCAGAATGCTGTACATGGGTGCCTAAGAATTTTAGCCAGTGCTTAACTCACTCCCTTTCTTTTTCTCTGGCACTGATGACCTGTTCTTGTGTGAGGGATGACTGCTGACATTCCTGGCTGTCCTTCTTTGCATGAGGGCTATGGTCTTCATCTCCATTCATCAGCTGTATCCATGTCCACCTCACCAAACACCTTTGGTGTGTGACACCATACATGCTTGTGATTGACAATGAGTCATAAGTCTGCTCACAAATCTTTGACCTTGTCTCATTGTCTTTGCCCCAGTGGTTTGCTTATTGAAAGAAGGAGTGCCCTTGTAGAGGTTGAAGAGGAGTCTGACTGAGAATTTTTCTCACTCAAGAGACAAAACAACAATGGAATTGTATGTAGGGTGACTGCAATGTAGTGGATGTACTTGGGCTTTTACATGCATTGTTGCCCATTGCTGTATGGACATATGTTGCATTGACAGATATTATATTAAATGATCTGCGTCAAGTGCACCTCAATTCAATTTTGCACACTGTACAACATCATGCCTTTCTGTTTACTGCAATATTCAGCATTACACATCATCTTCCTTTATGCTACTTACATCTGTAGGCAGTCATTGTTAGGGGGTGATGGCATGGATTGCAGTGATCAACACACCCTGCATGCATTTTTTGATGGCCTGTTGCCCAAACTACCAATGCCACTCTCACCAATCCCACACCCTCGCTTCAGTGGATTCACAGGAGCAGCAACTGGCTCTCACAGGATGACCATGTCACGAACAACAGCCATGAAGACAGACTTCTTGTCCCTGCTGATTGAGTAGTGCATCAGTGCAAAGTGCACTCGAACAATGGCACTGGAGAGCCTGTGAGTGTAATCTGATGGGTCGATACTCTCACCATCGAGATCAAAGACTGGAAGAGGAGAGATATTGTGTGTTTCGGCTGCATGTGCCAGTGCCCCTTTCAGGTGCTCCTGCACTGGCCAGTCCATCATCCTCATCTCTGTTGACAGCATCAGCATCAGCCTTGCCCACCAGTCACCTCAACCCACCATCGTCAATGGCTGTTTTGGGGTTGGTGTCCATGTTTTTGGTCTAGATTTTGGTCTCAGTGTTGTTGTTTCCTGCAAGACAAACAGGCATACCACAAAAAGCGTGTGATTCAGGCAAATGCAAACCTGGCCACAGGCTTCCCACATGCATGAGAGTATGGTCTCACCCTTTCATGATGGAATGAGCTTCTCTAAGGCTTGCAAGTTAGCCACAACTGCTGGGAAGTCATGTTGGCTTGCACCATATACAGAATCATGCTGAACAGCAATTAGATTGCATGACAGCTTCATGTCAACAAACTCCTTGTTGAATGCATTTGATGGAAAAAAGCTGCCCTCAGGTCCCATAAAAAAGCCCTGACAGTCGATTTTGAAGATACCACTGAGGATCATCTCAACAATGTCGTCCCCACTCCCTTTAACAACTGCTACATTGCCAGATGGGCCCCCCCATGAAAAATTCACCTCAACTCATGATATTCAGTGTGGCCATGTAAAATGCCATGTTGCTCTGCTTCAGATCTTCTACAATTTTGGCTAGTGCCAGGGGCATGCTGCTCTCTGTGGAAACCTCTGTTGCATCATCTACTGCATTCAAATCCAAGGCTGCATTGATGGTGGCCATCTTGGATTGCCCTTGGGCTCTATCGGTAGGTTCTGCACTGGATGTCATGGTCATCATCTGTAAGAGATGCTTGGTGGGTACCCTAAAGGCATGAGGGCATATTTGAATCGTTTCTTTTAGGGGGGGGGCATGGAATGTCAAACTCTGAGGGGGATTTGGGGAAAGGGGATGGGGCAATGTATAAAACAGGTGGTAAATCTGTCCTTTGCAAGTCTGAGCACAAATGCCTGAGCTGTGGGGATGCCTCACTCGCCAAGAAGTACTCAAGGCCATTCCCTCTGGTACATTGTCTCTGAAGTTGCAGAAGTGGGCCAATCTCAGTCCTGCAATCCTTCTGCTTCCCAAGGACATCTGAGAGTGCATTTGTCTGGTGGCAGCTGCCAAAGATGATGCTGTGTTGAAGTGCAAATGGGAAGCCAACACCAAGCAGAAGGCATGGTTCAGAGCAAAACATCCAAGACAGGGGGTACCCTCTGTGCCGAAGGCAAGCATTATTGAACACAATGAAGTTGATAGTGTGGACATGCACCTGTACATGCAATTGCCTACCACACAAGAGACATGGAATTGCATTGCGAGATTCATTGACACAACTGGCAACAATGCACTATGACGTGCAACCTGCATCATCTGTGCTCAGGAAACCATGGGAAAGGATGGAGAGATGTGAATCATGATAGACATACCCAACATACAACAACATTTACATCTGCAGAAAGCCCATCCAGCTCACTTCGCTATGGCATGGTCTTCTAATATTAGGGGGCACATGTGGATGACACTGGCCACAGGTGGGCATGTCATGATTGCCTTGCATGCAAACCACTTACCATGTCTGGCCCTCAACAACAACCTATGGCTTGGGGAGCCACCTCTTGTTCTGCACAGGCTGACATTTGTAGAGTCTCTCCTCATTGCATGTCACTATCCCTGTTGTTATGTGTTCAAGTTATACCCAAGGGATGGGTTGTGCTCCTTCAACCCTAGACATCTGCAGCAGGCAATGGCCAGTAATGTGACACTATATGAAATCAACAGTTCAGCTATCGCAGACATGGTGCAGGGACATATGTTACCTCACACTGTGTGCTCCATGAGCAACATTCTCACAGTCACCTTTGTGGGCACCAAACAGCTACCAATGAACTGGCTAAACCTCACCTTCCATGTCCATCAAGATGCAATATGTGAAGCACTGCAATGGTTGCAAGAAAACAATAACATCTATGGTGACATCAACATTTCTGAGCAACATATTAATGAACTTCCCAATGATGATGTACCTCCCAAAATCGAGGCCATGATTTGCCTAGAAGACAATGAGCTCACCACTGTCCATGAGTGAGAAGGCTATGCGATAGTCTGACAGGATTGATTGTAAGGGTATGTCCCCTCCAACATCTCATTGTTGTAACAGTTGTCTTACCTACTGCACTCCATATCTCACAGACATGTCACCTGAGACCTACTGACTTAATGGTGGGGGACAATGATGCTGAGGCAATACTGGATGACAGTGCAAATGGAATCGACAATGGTGGTAAGTGTTCATGTATCCTGCCAATGGCTTGAGCAGTCATCAATGTGGTTGGTTAGGAGATGTCTTACCTCTGCATGTGCTCACTGTAAGCGATACAGACCTCATGAAGACATCATCTTCAGAGCTAATGGCACATGCTCTGGCCAACTTGAATGATTCAATGCAAGAGGGTGGTTATGTCATGTGCCATGGTACCACACTTATCATGGATTTCAGGTCTGATGCTGTGAAGAACAGGTGTCCCAATCCACTTGCAGCTGCTTTCCCCACCCTCTTTCCATATGGAATTGGGGGGATCAAGGATGATTGGTTGAAAAAGTTGAGCCTGCATGAACATTGTCAATGGGCATTGCAATATCATGACAAATGGTTTGCTACTCACCACTCATTCCCATTTGTCATGTTCACTCTCATTCAAAAGTGGGATGTGGATGCGCTCAGCACACCTTCAGATGCAACAAAAGGACTTTGAATGGGATGCATTGGCATTGTCTTTGATCACCATCAATGACCTCAAAAAGGTGGAAGTCGAAGAGGCTAGACATCAACACATAACAAATGCATGAGTCCATGCACTACACCATCATGTGACAGCTGCCAATGGCCATGTCGAGCGCTCAGACAACACTTGTGCATGATACCATGGCATGATTTGGGGAATGTGTCTTGTGTTCGGTGGGCCATCACTGTGGCTAATGATCAACCCTGTCAATATTCACGATCCCATTGTCCAGGTGTTTGCAGGCAAAGAGATTGATATGGACAACTTTAACTCCTCTCTGGGGCCTGACAGTAACTGCTGTGCAGAGAATGTCACTTCAAATCCATATGCTGCAGCTCTTTTTTTCAACTTTATTATCCACTGAATGTTGGATACTCTGTTTGGGATACAGAAGAGGGGTAGTCAGACAACTAGTCACATGGGGGTCCTTGGACATCTCAGTGCATATTTTGGAATGGTAGAGGTGCAGGGCAGAGGTTCACTTCATGTCCACATGCTCTTATGGCTGGTTCACACCCCAAACATGAACAAGATGCAGGCCTTGTTGCAACAGGAGTCTTTTCATGAACAGATTTGCTCATACATCTTGACCAATATCTGTGCCCACCTTGATGACCTCACACCAAATGACATCATCAATATGCCCAGGGATCCTCAACTTGCATACTCTCACCCCCCCAACCTGCATGTTTCAGCCTGGTCAGTCATCAATTGTCAATTTGAACACCAGCTAGTCAGATCCCAGCAACTTCATTCTTGCTCTAGAGCAACATGTCTGCACATGCACAATGGTGAACTCCTTTGCAAGAGAAGAGCACCCTGGCCTTTAAATGCCCAGGACTTCATTGATGAGCAAGGAAACTGGGGTCCAAGGCAGATGCATGGTTGCATCAATGTGTATTGCCCAACATTGTTAACAGCGATGCATTGCAAAAACGACTTGAAAATCAACACCAATGGTGCTGATACGAAGGACATGGGGTTTTACATCACTGCCTGTGCAATGAAAAAGCAAAAGAAGTCACACAACTTGTCTGCATTGATGGCATCAACACTACCATATCACCACAAGAATCCTTGATACAATGATGTGCAAGAATGCAACCACTTACTACTCTACCACTGCATCAATGTGATCAATCGAGAGACAGAGTTGTCAGGACCACAGGTGATGTCATATCTCATGGGCTTCAGTGACAACTTCACATCTCACAACTATGCTGCCTTGTACATCAGCACTTTATTCTCCTCTGTCAAAACTATGTTTCCTGAGCTTTGCACATTAAGCTCTGGCATGTAAGTTCATTGAGCTGTTGGACATTGGGCACTGTCCTGACCACATTCATAGAGTCGGTCAAAACATCAATAGGTCCAGTGATGACACTAGTGATGACACTAGTGATGACAATGATATCATTACCCTTGGCTCAACCCCTGCCAGTGTTTTGTTTCCTTGCTTGCAAGTGCAGGACTATGTCTTTCATGGGCCAGAGTTGGAGGACTTCTGTCTTTTGGCATTTGTCATGGATACATGGGAGGAGCATTATACACAGTCTCAGGCCTGCCCACCTGCACCTTCTGTGCCCAAACATGGCTGGCCTGCACATCTGCATTCATACTATTCAGAGCAGCATCCAAAGTGGAAGTCACACCATCATGTCTGTCATGCCAGTGAGCACAACACATTGCCTCATCTGATTGGACCCTGGTTTCCCTGTGCTGATGATGACAGTGTTCATGATTATTTTCTGGCATGTATTTTGGCATTGCTTGAAACCTTGGTGTCAGGCCTCCGACCTCAAGAATGATTTGGCATTGTGGACTGACACATTTGAGGAGTTCAACAATGAAATGGAACCTTGGCACAGATGTGTGGTCACAGGGATACAATACTATTATGAGTCAAAGACTACATGCAAATCCTCCCCCTCTGATCACAACACTGGGCCAAGATCACAGGGCTTCCCAGAGGTTGAACAGCCTGGTGAGTTGGATTGCATCAGTGAATGGGATAGTCACAAGAGTCTTACACTGACAGAGGAAGACCTTGAGAACTTCCAGAGAGAACAAACATCTGCCTGAGAACAGAAACACATGATGGAGGCAATTGACATTGGCACACGCAGGGGAGTGTTCTCTATCAACACGTCTCTCTCTCGTGAACATTCCTCTTCATTTCAGATTGCTTCTGTGCAAGACCAGGAACTGCTCATTCTGTGGCAAAGGGAAATGGAGGTGATGGTTGCCAAACCTGGCATGACATCACTCACCTTGCCATCTGATCCTCTGAGAGATGTTGGCAGTGTGGATGCCAATGATGGAATGCTCCTCAGTGATAGTGGAGGTATGTACTTGCTCACCCAACTC